TCCACAGGGCTTTTACACCTCTCTATAAACACAACTACTCACCTGCCTGACTCCAGAATGGCTTTTCTTCCCCAAAACATTGTCTTTTCCCAGCTCTCTCTTCCCCCGCCTAGACTTCTTTTTCAGCTCTTCTTCCTTCTTCAAGTTTTCTAGCTCCTGCTGGTGCTTTTTTGCAAGCACTTGAGCCATCTCCCTTCAACAAGTCAAAAAGAAAACATCCTTGAGAGTCCCCGCCACAAATCTGTGCTCACTGCAATCCCAGCTGGTCCTGGACTTCACACACTGACCCTGAGGCCAGGCAGGACCATTAGACCATCCCCATGGACTTCCCTCAACCTGGGGAAGTTGGGAACATCCGAAGTGAGGAAAGGTGGGAGGTGACCTCCCCTGCCAGCCAAATCTCAGCCTTGCTGTCATAATGTCTCAGTTGGGGAACTGTCCACCTGGACACCCCCAGCACACTGTCAAAGACTGATCCACCATTTCGCTGCACTGATGCCTGAAGCCCTCTCCCAGTTTAAACCAGCTCACAAATTGCTAACACCTATATATATATATAGAGAGAGAGAGAGAGAGAGAGAGAGATCCCTGCACCAATACTTAACTTGGCTTACCCAGCCCTTCTCCTCCCTAAAAATAGCCTGCTCCTTATTGAGAATAACCCTATCAATCACAAAGCAAAGGCTGCAGTAACTCCCCTCCTGGTTCCAAACAATGAGGTTTCCTGCTGGAACCCAGCTGTGACCATGGGAAACTTGTGTTGTCTGTCCTGGAAATTGTGATTTGAATGCAGACCCAGCGATCTCCTTGTGGTGAAACAAACTTCAGCCTGGGCTGAACAAAGTGCTGAAGCACAAGCTTTGAGCTCAACAAAGGTCTCCAGAGCAGCAAACCCTCTAGGGACATTATCCTAGGGAGTTACCCACGGAAGGCTTACAGACCTCCTCTTCCTCTCTCGCTGGACTTCTCGTATATTGTTATTAAACTGAGCTTTCTGCTCCTCAGTGAGGGCATCATAGTCATCCTCATCCATCTCCCAGAGAAGTGCTTTCTCCCTCCTGGCAGCTTCTTCCTGCTCCCGTCCTTCAGCACAGACCAGAGGAGAAACCATTAGCGACTGTCAGCAGAGCTTTCTGTTCTGGGGAGGCTGTGAGGATTCGCAGCTCTGGCCCAACCCAGCCTAACAACCTGCTAGGAGATCCAAAATGCAGATAAACCCCCAAACTATGGCCAGTCAGTGAGTTCCTGTGCCTTGCCTGGCTCACGTGCACCAGTGTTGTGGTTTGCTTTGCGCCACAGTTATTGAGCCACAACAGCTCGCACCTATGCCCAAGCTTCACCTACCTTGGTCAGTGACTAAGGTAAGTATTACAGCCTTAGCTCTGCTGTATTTTAAACATCTGTGAGCTGAATGCTGGCTACACAGAGGCAGAAGGTGGAGGGATTAATAAAAACATTTCTTACAAGCTCTGCTGGTAGCCCAGATACACACAGATACTGCTGAGGGCTTTGAGAGAGAAGATCTGGGAGGCATGGAGATGAAGAGTCTCACCTTCCTGCTCTTTTGAAGCTGTCTCCCTGGCTTTAAAAGCAGCATAATCCTCAAACAGGTTCACAAAATAGATATGAGGACGATTTCTGACAGCTTTGAGAAGGCAGAGGAGAGCAGACGCTATGTTGTGAGCAAAGAGGGTCTCCAAGCCATCAAACACCACTCCCTGGTAGCAGTCACTCAACTGTGAAGAAAAGGAAGTCAGCTATTGCACATGTTGGGCTCTCAGCTAGTCATTAAACTCCAATGTCAAAGGACATCAGCCATCGTTGTTCAAGGGCAGCAGCTCAGACAAGCTCTGATCTTTCTCTGTGCACTGCCAACTTATGGCATCTGCAGCTTCACCTAAGGATCCCTGCATGCAGCCCATGGCTCCTTGAACAGCAGATACAGACCTCCTTCACTTTGAATTGTACCTCGCTGCCTGTCTCTCTGTTGGAGGAACGTCTCCTTCACCCCCATGCCATACCTGCAGCCTTTCAGAGAGGATGGCTACCAGCAAGTCCTCGGGCAGCACGCAGCTCATGAAGCCCAGCTCTCCCACTGTGCTGCCATTGATGCTTAGCCATCGCTGCATAACAACGCAGGGAAGGGAGGAGGCGAGATGAGAACTAGATGAACCCTGCAATGTTGAACACCACAAGAAAAATAAATCACTTTGGAAACCCCCGCACAATTCCAACTGCTGGGCTTGGAGCTGGGTTCCTCACTAGTGGGAAACTAGAACAATACTGTAGGTCAGCAGCTCCAGTGGACAACCCTGGAGGGTACATCCCTTGGCCAGCAGAGACCCAAGCCTGCAAGCCTCAGGTGCAGCATCCCACAGCTTTGCCTCACCCTGCAGCCACGTTATCCAGGACTGGACTTGGCCAACAAACCATTAAGACCCAGCAAAGATTTCTGCTACAGCACAAGGTTTCAATCCCACCCTGAGCCATGCCCAGCTGGTGCTCTGTGCTGTATATCCCCACATCAGGCTCTGGGTAGCATGGAGCTACCACTGTAAGGAGCTCCTTCGCTTCTTAAGGCAACAGGCATTAACCAGTGCAGATCACACTTCACCTGGGAGACTGTGGGATCCATTAGGTATTTCTGGGATTGGGATGTGTGGCTATCTATCTTCTTGCCCACTGCGGTGCTTGCCTGGCCTTGGGAACTCAGGCCATCAGGCTGCAGGCTCGATTTGCCCTCAGAGCTGGACTGGCTTGCGCCTAGGCAGTGTGTGGCCTCAGTGCTGAGCTGTGGGCTGAGGGACACCACTGTGGTTTGACCTGTGGAGAGGACAGAGGCTCAGAGGGCAGCAAGCAGACCCCTTTCACCCCAATGGGCACAGGCCTGCACCCTGCCAGGGACGCAGCACGTGTCCCTAGACTGCAGGGCACCAGCAGCACTGCTCTCCAGAAGCAGCTCCTGCCCTGCTTCTATGATTAGCATGATAAAGCACATTGTCTGGTACTGGATTTTAAAGCCAGAGAGTTTTTAATGCACAACCCTGTGTCCCTCCTAGCGAATGTGCATGCAGGTGACACTGCACAGTAGCTTCTCTATGGATCAAACCAAGTATTCATCCTCCATGATCACCTTGCACCCATCCTGTATTCTCACATGGAGACTGTAACATGCAGCCCTGTCCCAGCTGTACCCCTCCATCTCCACTGGAGCTAATTCCTGGTGGGATAACCCCATCCCAGACCTTCCACCAGCTCCCACCCAGGTTCAAAGCTGAGCAATGCAAAACGTCCTTCACTCCCCAAGCCAGGGTCTGGCCTCACCCTGCAGAGCTCAGAGCACCAACTGCCCAAAAAAGCTTCCTAAAAGTCTCCGGTCTCGCATGGAGAACAGCTCAACACAGATGAACTGTGTGACCTGACAGGGTGTATAGGGAAATCTCTGGAGGAATCTCTGCTCATCTGCAGCATGTGTCTCTTGTGAAATTCCTCCAGGAGGTTACTCTTCCCTTCCTCTCATGAGTGAAGCCACACTCTCAAGTCAATCATCTAGTGCTTAATGAGCCACTTCAGAAGGCTTTTTCCTCATTGAAGTAAGCAGCAGTTCTGTCTGACAGCCATGAGGAGCGAGCTGGATTCAGCTTTGAGGAAATACAGAAGCTTTGAGAAAGATACAGGTGTGCTTCACCTCTCTTACAGAAAGGAACATGCGCCAAGAAGCCAAAGGCAGCAAAAGTGCCCCTGAGAGCTTAAAATACAGATTATTTTTTTTTTAATAACTAGAGATGCTTTATGAAATGGCTTTGCATTTGTATATGCTGCATCCATGTTCCTTAAGAGACCCAAGGGCTTTCAAACTGCTGTGGAGCAAGCACAAGTAGATGGTCATGGTGGGTTTTGAAAGTGCTACTCTGGGTCCAACATTTCTCCTTACCAGCACCCTCTGTCTCCTGCTGGCTCTGCTCGATGGCAGCCTTGATGCAGAGCTCCCGGGCACGGAGCCCTGCCAAGCTGCTCCTGCTTGAGATGGCTTCTTTCACCACGGTGTCAATGGACAAGCAGGCAGCGCCGTAACGCTTGGACAGGGCAACTGCTGCCGCTGTCTTTCCTTGAGAGAGAAAGGAGGACTGCTTGGTGACACTTGCACGTGAGGCATGTTCAGGGACAGGCTTTGGAAAGCCCACAAACAGGATTTCAAAGTTTCAGGGACAGCTGGAAAACAAGTGCTCTTTTTCAGGGGAGACCATGAGGGTAGCAGCTTGAGCATGGTTAGAAGCATTGAACTCTAGAACCAGGTGGCTCATCTCCACCTCATGTTCAGCTGAGGACTTTTTCCTTTGTGGTGACCCAGACCCCAGGCCAGGACATTGTTTTAAGCCCTATCCACCACCTCTCAAGACCATTCGCCAGCTTGTGCTGGTCAGCACCCTCTTGCACAATGTCTGGGTACGGTTTTGGGGTCAGCATGGGCTGGGCCTGCTCCCATAAGGCAACATGGACACTAGGCAGTGTGGTCTCATGAAGCAAGAGCAACATGGCCACCCTGTTTGGGGCAATGAGAGCCTAGCTGTATGGACACAAGATGAGCCACACCACCTGCACCAGCTGAGTGAAGGCTTGGGACCATTTCTCGTATCAGCAGAACTATGGCTTACCTCGCTTCACTTCAACTGGTCAACTGAGCACCATGGTCCAACAGAATATGTCACTTCTGTCCCGCTCCTCCACCCTCCCTCTTCCTTGCAGCCAGGGGCTGCGGCTCAAGTACCTGTCAGGGGTGCCCCATGCACGATGATGACAATCCCTCTACGGTTTCGGGCTGCGCACCCTTCTGCAGAGATATCAATGCCAAGGTGGCGGGCGATAGCCCTAAAGACAGGGCTGTTGTCCACTTCTCCTGCGGCCTCCTTGCTGCTGCTGGTGCTTTGCCAATGCTCTGCTGTGCAGAACCAGGTAGAAAAGTCAGCCTCTTGCCTAACTGAGATCCTGATTATCCTTCCCATCCCCTCAGATCCTTGGAGAGAAGACTGCTGAAACCAATGTCACATCCAATGTCACACCATGCCCTTCCTTTAGGCATGTACAGATCAGGGTCTGCCCTAGATGCTGGTGAAGGTGCCTGTTCAGAGTATAGCAAGTGGGGTGGCAGAAAGAGGAGAGAATGAGAATCCAGCAGTACCTTAAGGGACCAGACCAAATCTCCTTCCTTGAACTGTCAGCATGGTCTTCATGGGAGTTTGGTCCTGGGTCCTGCTGAGTAAGGGGGGGCAGGCAGACCCGGAACATTCTACAGTCCCAGGGGGAGGCTCCATTTGGGGATCATGCAATTATCCAAAAGCTGGACTCTTTAGGAATGTTGCACCTTACACTGGGAGATGTGGCTGGGCTCTGAATTCACCATAACAGCATTTACAAAGAGCTCCTGCCTTTGCCTTTAGGAAGTCACCAAAAGCCATCACCACTTGCAATGTCACGTAGGACAAAAAGTGCACTGCACTGCCTAGGAAAGGGAATAGCATCATCCTGATCCCAGCAGCTCCTGGGGGCAAAGGTGCTTATTTGGCACAACTGGGAAAAAACTCCCTGGCCTCTCACTCATCCCTGCCCCAGACTCTTCTCAGGATCCTACAGACTTCATATGCAAGAGTAGTTTCAGGGTCTACAAGGAGCAAAGATGGCACCAGCCTGCAGTGAAGTGATGGAGATGACACTGAAGTCCTCCACTGAGGCCCTTTTGCCACAATGAACATAAAATAGGTGAAGAGCTTAGGGTTATTACCTGTCCTGCATTTTCTCTCAACACTTTCCTCCTCTTCCTCTCCACATACAGACTTAGCGTCCACCTTGTTGGACTGGCTTTCATCAAAAATGGAGAAGGGAACGACTGAGCTATGGGTTGAGCTGGTATAAACGATCCCAGCAGAGTGTTTTCCTCCTTGATCTGATGGGAACTGGACATCTTCAATGTTTGCTGAGGAGGAAGAATACGGAGAGAAGAAGGTGGTGAATACGGCCTGGCAATCTGCTCTTTGCCCTCCATCACTTTGCACAGCCACATGCCAAAGGTGGAAAATCTCCCAAGGAGGGAAACTCTGAGGCACTTAGAAGCCTGTCCAGGCTGTCTCTGCCCTCAGGGAATTTTGAGCTTGTGCTTTTGTTGCTGGGAAGGAGCTAGTAGAAAATAGCTAGTGATATTAGACCTGGTCCTACTGGCTGAAAAACTCATCCAACCCTACTCTTTGTGGTTGAGGGACACAGTCTATGGCATGCAGATATGAGCTTGCTTTGGCTGCACTCAGGGCTGACAGAGGCTGTGTGTTACAAGCCACAGACATTCAGCCAGGAATTCCTCCATCAAGCTGGGCAACAAGCAGCTGCTAAAAGCATGCACTTTCCATGGAGAATGAGGTCTGCTGTGTCCACACTCAGGAGAGCCAATATCAAACCCTCACCATTGTCCTGGCCTGCTGTTTCCCCAGTCTTGGACTTTCCCTGCTCATCCTGCAGCCTCTTCTGCTCCTCATAGTACTCAAGTACCTCTGGGGGTAAACTCTCTCCCGGGGCACGTGGAGGCAGCAACAAGGTATTGTGACAATTGTAATCCTTCAGCATCCGCAAGACCTGTGAGCATTAAGAGAAACCATATACACGATGTATTTCTTGACCTTCATCACGTGAACAGACTCCCCAATCAACCTATCTCCTCTGCCATTCCTTCCTCCCAACAACACTGACTATCCAAGCCCATCCACGTCCTGCCAGCAATGCTGGCTAACCCTGAAATGTCACCAGGCTTTGCCCTGGGGACTACCCCCATCTCCCTGGCAGAAGCCTGGGAATGCTGGAGCACTGTGGGAGCTGGCAATGGGGACCAGACCTTCCCTCTCACCTCCTCCTCAGCACGGTACTGCTCATCAAACTCCAACGAGTAAAACTCGATGGGGAACTCACACGGGTTCTTCACCACCACTGTCCCCTCCACCCCACAGGTGTATGGCAGCGATGGTCCCAGCTCGAGCACTGGGGGGCTGAACTCCAGCCGTGGTTCCAGACCATGTCCCAACACCTGCAGCTGGAGGTGCTGGCTGTTTTGGCAAATGTTGATCTTCAGCTCACTTCTGTAGGACTTCTGCAAAGAGAGAAGTGCAGAAAGCTCCTCCATGAAGTACCAGGTGACAGAACCTCAAATTCAACCTTTGCCCCAAGGTCAGAGGTGTTATCAGTACCTCTGAGGTGATGGGAAAACAGATATTTAGTTATAGCACAGGCTACAGCATCTGCATGCTGGCTTTGAGTAATGGGGATGAGTCCTGGTGTGAAGTGTAACTGGATATTTGAGCATCAGATGGATCTAAAATGGTCTATCAGATGTTTTCACCTCATCACGAGGGAGCACAATGCTCATGAGAAAGGTCCTCAGGGTTACATTGCCCAGACACAGTCCTGGCACTGCTGCATCAGGCAAACACCAGCTATATGAAAGAGGCAGATGGCTAGAAACAATGGTTGTCTTCTCTGCTCAGTGACTGGCTCTGTACAAAGTCAGCCACAAGCCAGTCCATCTTGATTAGCAATTAAACGATTCCTGGGACTGTTCCCAGGCATGGAAGCACTTGTGTTCATGCTGTTACACACTGCCAGTTTGCAAGTCACAGTGGCCACATGCAAGTTCGTCTTTGGGAATGCTCCATCATTTAAGTTGACTCCCAGACCACATGGGAACATGCAGGCAGGCTGGGTCAGAGGCACAGAGATTGCTGGCAGAATACTGCTACACATATTCTGACAGTCTTGCCATACCCAGGAAGGTGTCTGGGGCTGCTTTGCTTGCTGGTACCAGCAGCAGGATTAGCCTAGACTGGCCCTTCCAGAGTTATCCCCTGTGAGGATGCCAGTTGCTCTGCACCAAGGTCTTGCAGCCTGCAAGTAGGCCCACACAAGGGGGAAGATAAAGCAGGAAACGGGAAGATTTCCCCCATCTCCTGAGAGGCAGCCACATGCAGTGCCCTGATGCTCTCTGTGTAAGCTCCCCATGGGGATTTCAAAGTGCCCCTCAGAAGAGTGTGCTGCAGGGGAAACTGAGGCATAGTACGTACAGGTTTGTCAAAATCTCTGTGCCAAAGTCAAAAACACAGCACTGCACTAGCTCCAGCAGTCATTTTTTCTCCTTCTCAGTAGCTGGTGCAGTGCTGTGGTTTTGACTTTCAGCCTGGGAACAACGCTGATAACACCGATGTTTTTAGTTGTTGCTCAGTGATGTTTACTCTGACCAAGGACTTTCTCAGTCTCATGCTCTGCCAGGGAGGAGGGGAAGCCGGGACGAAGCAGAGACAGGACACCTGACCCAAACTGGCCAAAGGGCTATTCCACACCACAGCACGTCATGCCCAGTATAGAAACTGGGGGAGTTACCCGGAAGGCCCAGATCGCTGCTCGGGTCGGGCTGGGTATCGGTCGGCGGGTGGTGAGCGGTTGTGTCCTCTCCCCTTGTTATTTCTCTTACCATTATTATTGGTAGCAGCAGTGGTTTGTATTATACCTTAGTTACTGGAGAGCTGTTATCTCAACCCGTGGGAGTTACATTCCTCCGATTCTCCTCCCCATCCCTCCGGGAGCATGGGGAGGAAGGAAGGGCAGGGGGAGCGAGTGAGCGGCTGCGTGGTTCCAAGTTGCCGGCTGGGCTTGAACCACGACAGGAGGCAGCCTGCATCTCCTGCTCCCTATGCTGGTCTCTCCTGACCACATGGCCCTGCCAGACCTTCTGGGGGTGACACCCGCCAATCTCACCTCTTCTGTGGGTGAAAACCTGACTTGCACATTGCATCGCTGCCCTGGAGCGAGGGTTCCAGCCGATGGCAGCACCTCAAAGACACAGGGCTCGGCCTTCAACTCCCGAGGCAGCTTCTGATGCACTCCTACTGGCAAACGTTTGTCCACCTGGAGCACAGAAATCAGTCGTGTGAGGTCTCCTTGGTCTGTGAGGACATACCCTCTGTTCCTGCAGTGCTTTGAGATAATGCCAAGGTGCTGAGAGCATCCCACACCCAAAGCAGAGGTGGTCACCACAGCCTAGAACTGGAGGGAAAAAGTGTAGGCAGGGCAGGCAGCTGGGGAGGCACTGTCCTCAGAGAAGGAGCGGGTGAAGGTGGTAGAGAAGTGAACAGCAAGGTGAATCAGCCTTGCTCTGTATCCTCAAAGGCTTCCTCAAACAAGCTGCAGCCCAAGGCAGTCATAGGGGCAGAAAAGGGAAGAAAGGCAAAGAAAACTATCCAAAAAGTCATGTGTTAAACACTGTCTGTGCTTTACCTTCTCAACAGACTGTTTCATGGTGATGAACCATTTACAGGGGATCTGGAGCTGATTGTGGAGCTGGACAGTTTCTTCCTGGCACTGTCCATGCTGGATGGTGAAGAATTCCAGTCTGTCCCTGGAGAGGGAGATGGATGGTACAGCCACATTGGCACGGAGGCGGATATGCAACGTGGGGCCTCCTGTGACCTAGTGAAGGACAGAGCATCCAGCTGAGAGACCAGGTGACATCTGCTGCTGTGCCCAACCTGCTGCCTGCCCCCAGAGTTGTAGTACCTTGATGGGCAAGAGCACGTCCACCTCTCCCAGCGGCAGGTTGGCACTTTGTGGGTCGAAGCGCACTTCGAATGTCTCAGTCTCACAGTAGGGCAGGTGCTTCACACGGTCCAGACCCACGCTGAAACCTTGAACAGATGAAAAAAGCTGAGATACACATGGAATACAAAACATGTTAAGGCCATATAGGTGTCCTGGCTGTCAGCTCCATGAAAATCCCCTTTGCATCTCCAGAGAAGCCTGTTGCTCTTTCTCCCTTGTCACCGCTCAAGGAGAAGGGGTTTTCACAGCCAAAATCCAAGGTTCATGTAGTAACATATCAGTTGAGGAGCTCCAGCGATTCCTCTATGAGGCATCTCAAGGAAGGATGAACAGACCTCTCCAAAGGAGAATTTCCAACTAAGATCTCCCCATGCTGTGGTGTTCGCTGGACAAAAACTTAGAGGAGACACCTGACCACCTCTCCGAGACAGCAAGTCACTGTTCGATGGACCTGCAGCCTTACCTGAAGGCCTGTTTTGGAAGCCTGTTTTGATATACCAGGGGATCTCACAGGTTGTTTTCTCAGTTAAGGCTGAACATAAATGCTATGACACTATGAACTGTAAACAAAGCACTTCCAAACCACAAAGGGTCCCATCTGTTTGCAACACAAGCCCACAGAGTGCACAAAGAAACTCAGATGATGCTCACAGCAGCCAAAAGCAGAAGATGCTGAGAGGCGCTCAAGGTCACCAGCCCATACAGCCCCTGCAATGAAGTTTTAGGACAGCCACAGGCAGGCCAGGTCTCTGGGCACTGCTGGCCAGAATTCAGGCTCTGAAGCACCAAGCGGGAGCTCTCTTCTACTAAGGAGGAAAAAGCTATACAACAAAGCACACAAAACCCTCCCCATCTCCAGTGGCTTAAGCTAATCTGTCAGAGACAGCTCCTTCAAGCCCACATGAAGTCTCTCCAGCACAGGCTACCTGTGTCACACAGGACATGTCCGTTGACGTGGAAGGACACAGGGAAGTGCCCGGTGTTGGTGATCTTCACGATGTGCGTCTGGATGTTACCAAGAATGATGTAGCCAAAGTCCAGGATGTACTCAGGCAGCTCAGCTCTGAAAGGAGGAGTAAGAAGAGTCCTTTAAAACACAGCCTGGCTGTTTTCCAAGAGGGTGGAAGATGCAAATAGAGTGGATATTTCTGTATTTACTGCTGTAAAAACTCAACTCAAGCCCATAAAACCCAAGGCCTGATCACCTGGTAATAAGACTAGGCCATGGGGAGTGAAGGTCCTAAGTTTTATCAGCTACCAATGGGACTCTGTAATAAAATTAGTTTTAAATGCATACTGGACACAGTTCCTCTGCTATGAAAAGCCACTGTAGTTAAGTCCACTGGACTCAGTGGAATTTTCTAAGCCTGGTGTACAGACCAAGACCTCTTCATAAGATTTAGACTGCACAGGAAATCTTCACTGCTCAGCAACCAGATCTGTCCCCAAAGCAGCACTGGTGAATGCAGTAATTGACACCTACAAAATTCATGGGAAAGTCCTTTTCCAAAGCAATCTCCCTTGGGAAAGCATGTACATGATCTGTTTTGCAATGCATCTTCATCCTGAACTGGAGGTTGCTGTGCCCATGCCTTATCATCAAGGAGCAAAGGGAAGGGCCAGGTTACCTGGGTAAGCTCTGCAGCCCCACAGCTTTCAAGCCACCTGATTTAGGGCCTGTCAAGGGTTTGTCAGCCTGTGTGATTCCCTGCTCTGCTCTTTTTGCGTAGTGCAGTCTGTTAGTTGGAACAAAGATGCCAGCTTTCAGTTGCCTCTTTCAGAGCTGGTCAGCAGGGACGGTGTCTGTGCTGCCTGGAAGGGTTTGGTGGTCCTCACTGGGACCCCTCAGCTCCAGGAACAGAACCCAGAAACTGTGGAAGTGGCACTGTGGAAGCGAGGACACTGAGCTGTTCACAGGGAGCATGCCAGAACTATCAAGCTCAGAGTCTTTCTGAAGTCCCCAGCTATTCCCAGCTCTGTAGACACAAGGAGGTCTCAGGAGCAGGTCTGCACTGTTGGGTGTTACCCTGGGGGCACCTGGAGATAGAGGAGTTGCTACTAACTTGAGAAGCCTCCAACGTGCACGCTGGTCAAAGGCAGCGTCCTCTGGGGAACTGGAGGTGAGAGTTTTCTGCTGTTCCAGGGCATGTTCCTCTATCAGCATCTGCTCCATCTGCATCTGCAGCTGAGCGTCCAACTGAGGAAAGGAAAGACAGTGGCTGGTTAGCAACAGTTCTACCCAAGGCCCCAGCTTGTCTCTGAAGGAGGATCCCACCCTGCTTTTGAGAGGGGCGATGGAAATCCTCCTGTCTCGCTGCTCAGTGTCTGTGACACCTGCTCTCTTAGTCAGGACCTTATCTCAAGAGAAATGAACTCCAGCATCTCCACCTGCCCAGCTGTAAAAGCTGATCTGGCCAAACAGACAGACAAGCCAGGAGTATTTCAGAACTCCAAGTATTTGCCTATCCCCAGCCAATGCCAAAGCAGCTTGGACAAAAGCTCTCTTGAAAAAGGGAACCACAATAAAGCTGGTGCCTCTTGGAGACAAACAATGACAGCACAGCCTCAGGGCACAGTCAGGCTGCTGCTTTTAAGCTCTCTAAACCTGTCAGGGCTTGTGTTGTGAGCAACAAACACCCCAGCAATGACCTGCACCTCCTTCGAAGTACCATAAATTCAACTGCTTGAGAACAGCCTTCAGGATCTGTCCCTGGGGTAGTCAGGAAGCTCGTGTGTCTCCGGGAGGGATGACTCTGAGAGGTGGGCAGCCCTTGGAGCAATGCTGAGCTGGCACAGACCATGGCCAGGGGTGGGCAGGGAGGTCGCAAGGGCCCGCAGGGCACTGGGAAGCCTGCTGTGGGGTGCAAGGGGCTCGAGTGACACAGGGGGAAGGTGGCACATGCCAGTGGGGCAGGATCTGTTCTCACCATGGTGCCTGAGTCCTCTGTGGCTGGCTCTGCTGCTGCAGCCTCCTCCAGAACTGCCTCATCTTGCTGGCTGCCTTTTCGCATCTTCTCTTTCACCTCTTTGAGGATCTTCTCATATTTTTCGTTCCCTGAAGAAAGAAAATATCCACAAATAGGAGTGTGGGCCTACTGCCATTCCCATTTAAGTTGGGAAGACCTGCTGCCCCAGTGCTGGCCTCTCCCACAAAAAAAATCCTCTAGCAATCTATGAAAAATAATGTTGCTGCTCCTCTCCAAATCCTGATATTCACCCCCCACCATCTTCCTCCCCACAAAGAAGCACCTCATCCCCTGCAATGTGATACAAATCCAACCCTGCCAAAATCCCAGCCAGCCTCTATTACAGCTTTCCCAAGCTTTTCTGTCTAGCCATCATCTTCCCAGGCCTCTGACAGATAGGCTAACAAGCTTCTGCAGGATAGTTCCTGGGGCAAAACCCACATGGGCTCATCTGCCAGAGACTCAAGAAGCAACCAGAGGGTTGAGTGTTTGTCTGATAGTCCTGAAACCTCCAGGCTTGGTGGAGGTGGGTATGAGCTGTGCTATGGGCCTGTGACATGGGGGGAAAAACAGGGGACTTTCCTGGAGAGCAGACAGGCAGTGCTCACCTTTGATGTTCCTGGGCAGGTCCAGGTGGATTCTAGGAAAGGTTCCTTCCCCTTTCAGGGAGATTTCTTCTGGTTCCAGGTATCCTACTTGGATCTTGAAAGTCCGGTAGAAGACTCCAGGCACTCCTGGCAGGTAATAGACTTTCAGCATTTGCTCCTTGCCAGGTCCAATGTAACCCTGCAGGACACAGGAGATGAGGAAATGCACCAAAGAGGGTTTGGTGGAGGGATGGCTCAGATGATAGATATGCTAAGAACACAAGACAGGTTCTCATATATAAATGTCAGACATCACCACGTTCTAGCTTTCTTGTATCCAGAAGCTCAAATCTCCTACACTAGGATGTAGTATATCCTTCAGAGGGCTCATAAGGCTGCACTCCTGCAGCACAGGCTGCCCTTTGCTCAGCATGAACACAGCTCTTCTGCTGATGGGGTTTACCCTCTGCTATCAAGAGCCACAGAAAAAACAAAAGCTCTTCTACCAGCCACTATGGGAGATGAGTGAAGAGCCTTTGCTCTCAGCAGGGCCAGCAGATCCTGTCACAGCACACCCATGGTTCCCAGGCTGGTGTCAAAGGGCCTGACCCGTTATTAATGATCCCGACCAAACATCTCCTGCCTGTGTGGTTACTCCAAGGGCGCAGGAGTCTATTCAGAAAGCCATTTTTTCCATTTGGCTTCTTCTTCTGATTACAGAAGGGGATAAAAATAGGAACACTGCTTCAGTTCAGACACCCAGTTCAGGACTGAGAAGCTCGGATGCTGCAAACTCTTCTCATTGCCATGCCAGTGCTGCTCCTACCTGGCCCCCTCCCTGCCCCACAAGGCTGCTGCAGAGCAGCAAAGCAGGAGGAGTGAGGGACCAGCACAGGGGCTGTTACAATTTCTGGCAAAGAAGCTTTATGCCCAAGCAAGGGAGTAAGTGCTGCTTAGGGCTGGCAGAGGCAGGCAGGGTTCGTTACAGGCAGGGACAAGGAATAAGTCCTGTCTGATCACATAACCTGGGTATGGTGACCTTCCAAAGAACCAGCACTGTCTAGCTCCACTGCCACACAACTGAGAGCTCAGCAGTTGGGGTCTGAAAAGCTCCCATAGCACCTCATGCCTCCTGCCAGTGGTTGCTGTATGACAGCAGAGCTGCCCACCAGCCAAGGCCGTTAAGGGAGTCTATTAGGACTGCACTTGCTTTACCTTCTCTGTCCTCAGCAGCAATTGCTCACAGCCCTGTCTCTCCTGGCTCATTTTGTGTTTCGTTCTTTTTCCTTTCCCCCTTCTTTTCCCTGTAACCCTCTCCTGGCAGCCTGACACAGGGCCAGGGTTAATCCTTTATAGTACTCACTGTGCTGGGCACGACCAGGGGCACACCAGGCAGAGGGCTGGCTGCAGTGGCTGTGCTGGGGCTCAGCACCACGAAGGTGAATCCCAGCTTCCCACTGTTGTGCAGAGTGACCTCTGCTTTGGTGACTTCATTAAACAGCTGAAGAGAGGACAGAAGAACAGGAAGTTACAGACACAGGTTTGTTGCTGGGAATCTTTCACTTTCACTGGGTTGAAAGTAAATGAACACAGGACAGAAGCAGGGAGTGCAGAGGCGATGTGGGCACTTGACTCTCCTGGGTTAACCTGGAGAGCCTGCAGCAGCCGGGTACCTCTTAGTCTTACATAAGAGCAGATGGTTACAGCAGCATGCAAAGGTGCAATAACGACCATGTAAAGATCAGTAATAAATAAACCAGGGGATACAAGCCCTCTGCACTTGAGGGTGTCATCTAGTGGCTAGCTGAAACAAAGTAGGAAGCACCAAGGCATTTCAGAAGAAAAGGCACCTGCACACAAGTATTTGCAAGCAAAACACAAGCAAAAAGGGAGACAGTCAGGGCAATACATACAGGGCCAACAGCTGGAAACATCTGTTTGTTTTTTAACTGAAAAGAAGTAAAGTGGGGATTGGTCTGGGACATTCTCTCCAGCTACAGTGACTGGAAGCCAAGTTAACTTCCTCCCTTGTTTATTTTTTTGATTAATCAAGAGCATTAAAAGAGAGCATCTCCTTGGACCTCAGGCTTTAGGAGCGGATCAGCAGACGGATGTCTGAGAGACACATCCCTCTGGAAATCACCACTGCGATCCTGCCTGCCCCAGGAAGCAGCATCAGTTACCTTGAAGAGGAAGAATTCCCAACTTTATCACTAGGTCAGCGATGACCATTAAAAAAAACAGCTAAGAGGCATGGCATATCACTCAAAGGTTGGACTTCCAAGCCACAGAGCCAGCAAAGTAGCTGGAAAGGGGAGAGAGCCCTAGACCTATGTGGGCAGCAACCCATCAGTGACGATTTTGAGACAAGGGCCTCTGCCAAGAGAAGCTTGTGGTACCTGTAGCCCGCAGTCGATCTCTGTGATGTCTAGGAAGTAGCTGATGAGCGAAGTCTCCCCACGCAGCACCATCTCATAGCTCGGGCCTCCCTCCACTCTGCACACTGCCGTGACACGGGTGATGATGTTTGCATGGCCAAAGAAGGTGAACATGACCTGCTGGCTCTCACCCGGCTGCAGTTCACCATACAGGGGCAGGACATCAAAAACCTGGAGGCAGGGGAGAAGAGATTGAGATGTCGAGCATGGAAATTGATGCAGAAGAGTAGCCATGGTGTGGAGCAAAGTACAGACATGGCTGGAGTGGCTTCTTCCTCAAACACAGGCAAAAATCATCCTAATCTCAGCCTGCACCCATTCCACTTAAAATAGAGGGACCAGGGGAAAAATCTTGCATACTCACTAACGAATGCATGAATTAATACACTACATTAAAATAATGGGATGTCTCTTGGCAGCAAGAAATTCTTTCTGCCGTGGAACTTGCTTTTAAAAAACACTTTTTACTGCCTTCAGAAAACCACGAGGCTGGCAGGTGAGAACCCGTGGAGCTGGGGGTTGGATCCAGCCCAGTTCATTTCACTCCTGGTGTTTTCCAATCTCTCTCTGATTTGCATCCTGCTCTCTCAAGATGCTACAGCAAAAGCTACTGCAGAAATTTCCTACTGCCTACTTGATGAGTAACAAGATGAATAATGCCTTCCTTAGGTGCTGCACAGGGAGTGTCCTTGGTCAGCCCTACAACATGTCCCACATGGCCTCTCCACTAACCTCAGCAGCACCATGCAACGCACTTCGAGGGAAGTGAGGCCACTCTGTGAGCACTGCAGAGGGCCACCAGTGTGAGTGATGGCTACATCACTGCTTGCCACACTGGAAACGTGGAAGCAAGACAGATTCCCACTTACTTCCTCCACTCCCAAGGCAAGGGGTTCTGTCTCCATGAACTGGACCAATTCCTTGATCTCCACTGGTCTCAGAGTATCCGCGGCACCTTCCGGTTCCTCAGCAGTGGATGCCAGCAGCTAGAAAACAAGCACCATATAAGCAGCTGGCTGGTCTGAGTAAGATCACTCTGCAGCAGGCTCCACCACCCCATCAAGCCAGGAGCAGCTGAGATGGGACCTAGGTGCAAATCAAGTATGGGTATGTCCACGCCATCAGCTGAGTGTGGGTCCAAGCCCATCTAGAGGTGAGGCATGGGCTCCATCTATACTTACTACATGCAAGTTCACATGAGAAAGCTGGGTTTACCCAGTGCTCACTCCTGGGCACCTCAGTCCTGAGAACTCAAGGGCATTTTGCACCCTTCTGCCAGCCTGGCTTCACTAAGTCCTGTCCAAGGAACATGCCAAAACCCCCACAGCTGGACAGGTTAGTTTCTCCATGACAAAAACAGGAACATAGCAGCAAGTGAGAAGTATCAAACCCAGGAAATAAGGACTTAGGAAGTGCTTGGCACAACTATCCAGTTTCAGATGGGGCTTAAGTTTCACCTCATACACTCCTCAGTGCTGGAGAGCTGAGGATCTCCACCAGGTAATTTTTCTCAGGTGACACCTTCCTGAAGATGGCAGAGATGTTTCTATGTCTTGCAGCCCTTGAGAGATGGTTTTTAACCTCAGAGGTGCCATCTTTCAAAAAGGACCTTGTCCCTGGGCTTCTGACCCCTGTTTATAAGCAAGGGCTTTGTGATTCTCTTCTATAAGAGAATAGTTGAATAGTTGAATATTCAATACCTGAAAGAATAATTGCTTCTTCAGTAAAGAAGAGCTTTGTGCTAGGGCCTCGACACCAGCCGAGTCTGCAAGGATATTTATGGGACATCCTTAGACCTAATCAAAGGCTACATCTCCTCAGTAGATAAAGCACTGGGAAGGGGTGAGTCTTCTCATGCTTCAATGCTTTCTGTCATCTCCACATTTTCAAACCTAGCAAAGCTTTGCTAAGTATATATTCCCAAAGATGTCAACCCACATCTTTTCCTGGCCTATGGTCTCCCATCTCCCCAGGGAGGTTATATGGATATTGCTTTGGTACAGTGACATAAGGAGAAGATGAAGCTGCAATCCAGAGGTATGCTTTGAAGTGATTTCAGATCCTGCTTAGCCATATCCACTTGAATTTCCCTGGTTTATTTGTGCATACATGGCAACAAAGCAGGAAATAAAGATGATTTCATGCTTCTATCTGAAAACATTCAGCCACACTATTCTTTACATCTATAGGGTATCATTTTTAATTGATTCAGAAAAAATGTGCAGAGTTACAACATTAACATGACTTATATTTGGAGATGAGCAGGTGCAACCCCTCTCCTTGAACTTAAGGCCAACGCTGCTACTTTCAGAACCTCCCGTGCTTTCTTGTATCCTTTTTTATTGCCCCAGGAGCAAGACGCTGTACAAGGCATCAGCTCCCAGGAGCATAAAGGTCAAGCTCCAGAGCACCAAGGCTCACCAGGAAGGGTCAGCAGATCAAAGACCATTTTCCAAAGGCCATGCTAGGAGGAAGTGACAGTGACTTTACAAAGTCTTGTTTTATAAAAGACAGCTCTGTGGCTGTTGCTGCAATACCGGATCTCAGGTGAAGACAGAGACGTGAAAAAGGGTGGCTCTAGTTGGGGGTGAGAAGGTGGTACATGGAGGTCAGTACCTGGCACAGCTTGATACAGGAAGGAAACTGGAAGCTTTCACACCACGATGCAGACAAAAGCCCATTTTACGTTGTTAAAAAAGAAAAGAAAAAGCAAGCCCTCCAGAAAAAAAAGCCCAAACTCAACATAGGTCAGTAGGATCTGAGTGGGATTCTCCAAGCAAAACTATCCTATCAATTTCTCCTCCCCTGAAGCCCCATATCCAGCTGCTGGTCCAGCTACTCAGCCTGTTCTCAAGGCAGCAAAAGAGAGGTTGGCATGAGCACAACTCTTGGGAGGGAAGCTGGGGGACGCAGTGCAAGTGGGAGTTGCACAAGAAAATTTACCTTTGCTTCCAGGGAGTTATCAGCATCTGCTGGCTCTTGGGCATCATCCCCCACTGCTCCCAGGGCTTCGGCTGACTCCTCTACACTTCCACCCTTGGAGCTGCTCTCTGAAGATGCTGAGTGCTCCGAGCAGGCTTCCTTCTCCTTCAGTGGTGGGGGTTCCATGAAAAATTTAGATGTTGGAGGGTTGAACCTGGAAACATAACATAACCTCAATCATGGACATGCAGTGGGAGGTAGGGAAGCCTGCATGAGCAGCTCCTCAGCAGGATGTGGTCCCTGTGGGCACTGGTGGTGTGAGTTCAGTAACAGGTCTGACCCAGGAGCTCCAAAACCAGGACGGAGCAGGCCAGCACTTGGGGCTGCCTGGGGATGATGCTGGTATAGCAGTGGTGCAGGCAGCTGGCAACTGGTTGCAATAAGGAACTAAAAAGGACAGAGCTGAATGCCTTGTGGGGAGGCAGAAAGCACACCAGGAAAGGAAAAGGTGCAAAAAAGGCGAGATTGAGACACAAAGTTTCAGATCCAGACAGCGATGAGCCAGTACTGACCCACCAGTGTCCTCCTAAAAGCACTCACTGCCGCAAACCATACCCAGAGACCCAAAGTGAGACAGTTTGCAGCTCTACTAGGTACTTATGTTAAATATTTCCCCTGACAATCACCTGCAGCTGCAGGTCAGTACAAGCAAGTGGTGATGCCCATGGCTTTTTCCAAGGGCCATCAGGCAGGAGCAGGGATAGATCCCGCAGCCTGCTGTGCCCTGACCCTGGCAGAGCCCAGAACCATGCAGGGGCACCCACGGAGCCCAGCATGGGACGCACATGCAAGGCAACACATAAAGACACATCAAGCAGCTGCAGGCAGAGACTCACAATTAAACAGCCTGTTAATCCCTGACTGGTACTTCGGAGAAAGCAGCTTTGGTCATTTTTAATTAAGGTACTGCAAACCGTGCCAAGTTTCAGCTCCCTGCTGTGCCACAGGTATTCCCTGTCTGCAAAGCAACGGCTCTAACTGCACGCCAAGCTGAAAAGGCAGCAGCTCTGCTGAAGCCAGGCTGACACCCATGTGGCACTTACCAACGGCGCAGTTACCTCCCCAGCAGTTTCTAAACACAAATGGCTGGAGGAGCAGTTGGGCAAATGATTGAGCAAAGCGGTCCAACAGCTCACTCATGGACGGAGCCAAGCTGATCATCTGAGCAATATCTGACAGTAAAAGGCAGATGGTTTAATGTTTGCAACCATTCCCGTGTGACCCGGGTTACGTTCCCTGTTTTAAATTGCAGCAGGTGCTCACAGGGACTCTGCTTGCATCTCTGATACCACATGGAGGGACACATTTGAATCAGGCCTGCTTGTCACTTGTGTCTATTTTCAAGGGTTCCTCCTGTAGTCAAACAAGGCAGATTTTCTACAACAACCTGGACTTTTCATTCCCAGATGGAAATTCTGTGCCTTTAATATATTCCCAAATGAATATTTGTCTTCAGCTTTGTAGCTTATTAGCTAAGGCTGTTCTTCATTTCTGGATTGGAGGCTCTGCTCTTCTTAACTCCCAAAGGATCCCACCTGACTTGTCCTTCCTACAATCACATGCAAGAACAAGGCTTGGCCCAGGTGAGCTCTTCTGCAGCCCTCCCTCTGCAGCTCTCCCTCTGCCTGCTGCTGGGACCTCATGTGGACCCTTGGCAAGACCTTGGAAGCAAGTCCATGTGGAAGAATGAACCAGGGCTGGAGAGGAGGAAGGCATTCACTTGCCCCTGCAAAGTGTGTCCCATCTGTGGTACCGCCTGTGCAACCTTTGCTTCTCTCAGCTGAGGTACTTTAATATCTCTTGAGGTGCACTGATGAGTGACCAAACTGCTGAACACCTCTAGCAGCTGCTAACTTGGGTATCTGCATCAGAATCATAATCATAGAATATGAGGTTTGAAGGGACCCTCAAGGATCATCTGGTCCAACCTTTCTTGGCAAGGCATGACCTAGGCTAAATGTTCCAGCACCTTGTCCAGCCAAATCTCAACAGTGTCCAGTGCGGCGAGTCTACCACTTCCCTGGGGAGATTATTCCAGTGGTTGATTGTTCTTATTATGAAGAACTTTCCTCTAGTGTCCAGTTGGAATCTCCCCAGGAATAACTTGCGCCCATTACCCCTTGTCTTTTCCATGTGACTCATTGTAAAAAGGCACTCTCCATCTTCTTAAAGAAACACTTTAAATACTGGGACATGGTGGTAGGGTCTCCCTGGAGCCTTCTTTTCTCAAGGCTGAACAGGCCCAGCTGCCTCAGCCTTTCCTCACACAGTTTCCTAGTCTTTTTTGTCACCTTTGTGGCCCTTCTCTGGAGCCTTTCAAGCCTGTCCACATCTTTTTTGTATAGCAGGGACCAAAACTGAACACAGTATTCCAGGTGTGGCTCGTCAAGCACCAAGCAGAGGTGCACAGGATGAAATAAATTCAGCTCAGCTGTGACAGTGGTGCTTTTGGGCAACTTGCAGCTGAATGTTACCTTTACCTGGTGACAAGGGAAATGCTTGCAGTATAGGGGTACCAATAGGAGCACCTCAAAGCCCTCCAGCTGTGGACCAGTTCAGGACATGGGCCTGGCTGTCATGACAGTGGCTGTCCATCCCAAACGCGCTAGTGTGATCCATCCTCCAGGATGAAACCACAGCTCTTAGAGTGGCTTGTGATAAATAATGTGGGTTAATAACAACTCCTAAGATGGAAACCCCAAGATGGAAAAATCCATAATCACTTATTAAATTGCCTTAGTTTTATAGAATGGTTTGAGGCAACTTCACAGGACCATGGTGCCTGGACAACAACAGTAGTTTTCACTCCAAAGTAGAAGCCCTCTGAGACCCAACTCCCATATGGGAGAAGCTGTGGAGAAGCACAAAGCAGAGCAAGGGGCTTTTTCCAGCGGGGGAAAAGTCAAAATGAATTACCAGGAAGTGTAACATGAAAAGGAAGAGAGTGATGAATCCAAGGTGTCAATAGAAAGTTGACCCCTGGGAACAGATATCTTCCTGGTACTGAAGGGAAGGCGGGTATCTTAGAAAAGGAGAAGGAAGGAAAAGATAACAAGATGTTCAGCATCAGCCCAGGCTTTAGGTAGCTCTTTCTGTGATGTGAGTTGGAACTTTCTGGGCATCCTCCAGTACTTTCAGGCCAAGGTTGTGAATTCAGGGAGGAAGGCAAGGAGCAGAGAAGGACCCATCCTAAACCAGATGGGCCAGAGGGCTGTGGAAGTGCATCCACCAGCACAGCTGAGACAAGGAATCTCCCCACATAAGCAGGTTTGCTTGGAGCTGGAGGGGCTGAAGCAAGGTGTTAACCCCTCTGGGCCTGTCTCACCCAACCCAGCCACCCCTCAAGTAAGACAAAATGCCTCCAGGAATTAACAGAGGGAATTTAATGGGAGCACAGGTGGACTGACACCAGGGAGAGAGGAATCTTTCCTGCTAATGAGCCAGCAAAGGGTCTATGCCAAGCCCTTTGGAGCAGAGGCTGTCATCCTGATGAGATATTCAGGACCCTCCACTGCCAATGACGCAGTTGAGTTGGGTGACCTGGCACCTACAGAAGAATGAGCACCTGCAGGCTCAGGTCCAGCAAAGCCAATTCAAGCAGAGTCAGGACAATTAAAAAGCTGAAAACTGAATCAGCATTCACATTTCTAAAACCCTCACTTGGTTCTAATAAAAAACAAGAGTAAAGATAAACAGGTACCCAGGGGAAACTAATTCCACACAGGCTTCACTGTAATGTGTTTGTTTCTCTGCTATTAAAAAATACATACATTGTTCTATCATCAAAATAAGATTTTCCCTTTCGCTTGCAATTAAACCCTCATCTAATTTACCAGACAGCAGGGGCCTCCAAGCAGAGGTTACAGCCCTGCTCACCTCCCTCCACCTGCTTTTCCAGACTCTCTTCTGTGTTTTAGAGTGTGTTCCTGAAGGTGCCATGCATCAAGAAGGGCCACACTAAAGACCTGTTACTTGGTAAGACCCAGGTGAGAATGGGCTACCCCAGTGCCCCAGTCTTCTCCCTCAAGCCCTTCTCATATCATAGCTACTTTCCAGTTCCCAACAGGTCATCTTCCCTAAACAAAACTGTTTCTTGATGATGTCTATTATTTGTAAGAGCAGCACTTCAATGGTTAACTTTGCTCAGTTTCCTAGGGCATTATGGAAAAACCATTTGCTACCACAATTAAAAGTGCCCAGACTAGACTTCTGTACTATGCAGAGGCCACAGTGGGAGGAACCACTAGAAATGTGTTTATAAATGTGCTTCAGCACGACTGCAAGATTGTTCTTGGGCTTGGAAACCACACACAGACCAGTACTGAATGGTCCTGCTTCCCAGGGAATGTCCAGACAAGCGCTCCCACCAACATCTACTGCTGTACCTAAAGATGCAGCAGAACCTGTCATTTCACTGTAAACTGCTATATAGCTCTTTGGTGAATGTGATGTGCAGTTTAACAGACAAAAACTCAGGCCACGATGGTCTGAGGAAGCAGCCTTCCACACCAGCTTTCCTTCCCCCAAGAACCAGTACAGGGGCTACAGCAGAGCAAGAAAGTGGGACAGCAGCCTATAGTTCTGGTGGCAGTGCCTGTGTAGGATCTTAGTGTGAAATAACAACAAATAGGGTTGGCAGGGAAAGAAAAGAGGTCATATTGTACCTCTGCTTATCCAAGTGTCTAAACATGGCTTTGTAGCTCCAGAGACAAAGCAGGAGGGCTGTGTGAAAAGTGTTAGCAGTGTCTTACCTTCCCAGCGTGGCTGGAGAACAGTGTCTCCTTCCCAGCATGAGACTAGTGGAGATCACCTATTCCCTGAGCACATAGCCTGACCACAGCTGGTAGGTGTTGTTTCCACAAGGGAAAATTGAAAGCAGTTTGTCAGATCAGACAAATTGCCTTGGTGTTTGCAAACTACAAACAGGATACCAGGAAGAAGAGCTTCAAGGGGAGGGCAAAGGTGCACATACCTGATGAGGTTCCTGTGGCTGTCTGTCAGGAACGACCATTGGTACTGGACAAGAAGCGGGCTGCAGTTGGTCATCTTGACATAACGCACATCTTCAGTGTCATTCAAGATGCAGCCAAAGTCCAGGGCCGTGGTCTGGATAAGGAGATTTGGGAAGTAGACTTCTCCCCGCACGGTGACCTGCTCCTGATGAGGATGCTCGAGAAACTGTATCTTCAGAGTCTTCTCTACTACCCGGCTACTCAAATCCTCCCCGTAAGCAGGGTTAAATCCGATGCAGAGGTGAAGTTCCTCCCCTGTCCTCAGCTTCATTGGCTGCAAGGAGATGGAGTATTAACCACTGGTATGATGACGTCCCAAGGTCTGATAGCATGAAAAAGGTAAATGTGCAAAGTGTGACCCCAGCGTGGGCTTCTCAGTTCATCCTTCATTTTCACAGTGAGTGTCTGACTGCAACCACCTCTTTTGTGGTGGTTTTTCAGACACTTTTGTCTGAATCTATCTATCTCAGGCTCACATTCCTGAGCTCTGCACCAATATAAAAGAGAAATACAAACTGTTCTCCTGAATTCTGGATCTGCAGAAGCTATGATGTGCTAAATGCACAACCAAATCAGCACGCTGGCAAGCCAGGGCTTTTTGCCCTGACTCTAGGGGAACTCCTTTATCGGCACTGCAGACTCACCCTTGCAGGGGCTAGTCACTGACAGGGCACAGAAATGGTGGTTGCACCTACAACAACACATGTCTAGCAGAGTCCATGTCCAACGCCTTCCACTGACATGAGGGCAGAAGCCAGGCAGCAGCTGCAGGAGCATCCTCAGCCTTCCCAAAGCCAAAGCTGCCCTCAAAGAGCACAGGCTGCTCCTTAGGTTATCTGAGGGTGGCTGCTGGAGAGCTGGGATGGCTCCCCAGAGACACCTTTACTACACAGCTTGCCCAGACCTAGCTGCCTGCTCCTTTCTCCTCATGTCTTAGAGCCAAGAAATATCTTCCCAATTCAGATGGTATTTATTTTCTTCCCTTCAGTAGCTCGTTTCAAATCTGATTTAGCTCAGGCCAGTCTACTCCAGACTCTACAGAATACACTTCCATGCTAGAGGACCTCCCAACAGAAATGCACCACCACGCTCCTCCCTCTTCAAACCCCACCAGCAGGAAGGTCCATGGCTGCTCACCTGAGTGTCTGCAGGGAGGGGCTGCTGGTCTGCACTGCAAATGGAGAAGGGTTGTCCTAAGGCCAGGACCATGCTGAGGGGCAGTGAAGAGATGTTTTTTAAAGAAAGAGGCTTGTATTGAAGAGTTAGGACATCACTGGGTTGCTACAGAAACAGAAGACAAGAAAAAAATGCTGAATTCTGGCCATGGACCTCCTTCCCCTTCAGATGCATTTAAAATTTTTCAACCCCAAAAGTGCATACATCTCTATTTACTATTTTTATTAGTTTCTGTCCTTATAGAAGGTTTTTTCTTTAAGTATATCAGATGTTTTTCATGTTTAGAAACCAGAGCATCCTCCAGGGGACAGGGAAACAGTCTTTTATACAGATGAGAGAGTAGGACCTGTACAGGAGGCGGGTGCTTGAACAAGATCAAAACCAGAAAGTGAACTCAGACTGCCTCCAGTCTCATATCCTCTCTCGACCTGAATGGCACAAGATGATTTTCACTCACATATGGTATCAGCTCTAGTAGCCTCATAAAAGCAGTGATACTACACAGAGGAGAAAAGCAAGCAGGATTTGCTTACAGGATTTGCTCTCTGTACTGGAGAACCTGCAGCAGCCTGAGGTTAGCTTTGGACACTGACGTGTACACACAGCCAGCTAGAAACCTCAGCAGTCTGGTTGCAACCTACTGCCCCTGCTACAGCGACACGGTGTCTGTAGTCTCAAAGCTATGCTTAGCCTAAGCTATTTCTTCCTATTTATGCATTGTTCTGGGCTTCCTGCATGGTTTCTATAAACTAGACAGTGTTTAGAAAACTAGTTCTGGATGTACGGATATCCAACAGCTGCAGTGTCACAGCACTCAACTGGAGCACGTGCACCATCAAGCAGATCACAGGCAGACAACAGGGACAGCTGAAAAGCTTCTAGTTAGACCTGAAGTGCATGCTCACAGGATTTTGTGCTTCTCTGGAAGCTCAGGAACCAGAGGAGAGACTTGAAAATGCAGAAACTAAATAATGAAATATCTTCTCTTATTCAGACACCTCACAGGAGAGGGAAAGATGATGCAGGAGTTGGGATCTGGAGACTACAGGGCACCTGCTTTGGGTTGGTGTTACCAACACTGCAGCTGAAGGGCATCTGTGGGTCCTTTGAAGAAGGTGAGGCTTGGGGAAATGCAAAAAGCTAGTATCCATATCAACAGCAGAGAAGGCAAAGAGAGACAAGAGATGACAGTTTTTCCTCATCAGCTTGAGGACTTGACAGGAATCTCAGGTTTTCTCAGCTTCCCTACAGGACTGGTGTTCACACATCACCATGCCTTGGAGGATCCTCAAAATCCTCCCTTTATACTGAGTACAGACACTGGTGTCTCTCTAGAAGTGGCTGTGGTCTCCCTCAGCAGAGCAGCTGTAACCCCTGTTTTACTTTGTTGAAGTTAGAAAACTGTCTCATCTCTAAAAACATCCTCACTTACTTCACAAAGGCCCTCAGGGAGGGTGAGGAGCGATCTGGTCTCCCACCTGCAGCCCCAGCACACAAGGTGGCTATGCGAAGCCCATGTTGCTCTCACAGGTCCCACACATCTCACCCCATGCCCTTGGCTCGATTCTGTCTCCACATCAAGAAGGGCAGAATAGAGCAGCTGAGGCTATCCCCAACCCCAGAGGAGTGAAATAATGATCTTCATGTTCATGGCAAAAGCTTGGTCCAGCTGAAATCAACAGCCAAAGCTGGAGAAACTGTTTAACTTCCTCCTTTGAACACAAGCACACACCCCATGGGCTTTAAGTCATCAGCCACACCAGTAAATGCCAGGATGCAATCCAGAGACTTGCCTTCTCCACCCGGAAAGTGATTTCTCTGGTGGACATTTGCAGAATGGGAGCAATGAACTCGCACATGACATCTGCTTGCATGATCAGGGTTTTCCCCGCCGTGTTCCCCACAACAGCGTGACACAGCAGCCGCTCCTTCACCACCTGTGTGCAAGAGACACAAGGCACCCAGTGGGTGTCATCAGGGCATCCAGAAAAAACCCACTCCATTTGCTCATCACCCAGCCATGGACCCTGTTGCTGACATCAAGTTACAATCACTGGTCTCCTCAATAGCCCATTTTTCTTTCTATGCTGCATACTATTGATGCTGTGCTCAGATGTCCCTAATGCTACAACCCAATAGCCACAAAAGGCACTCGTGAGTCATGTGCTGACTACAGTTGTAATAATCCCTGCCCCAAATGTTTATTGGTTTCACTTGTCCCACTGCTACACAGAATGCTTACAAAAAGCAAAAACCCCAAAACCCAACCAAAAACTATATTAAGGGAAACAGCTGATAGAAGGGCCAACAAAGACTAGCAAACCCTCCCTTGAAGTTTGGTGGAAAAGATCCATGGGAAAAACGCCAATAACCAGCCTGTCTTCCTAGGGTGTACTATGCCCTCCTAGAGCTGGTTTTAAAACAAACCTCCCCAGGAAAGAGATGTCTTGCACTTTGCATGAAAGCCCTCTGCTTAAGCTGGATGCTCTTATAGTCAAGACTTCTTTCCTGATTTCTCATGGTTTCACTGTTTCCTCCCTTCATTTCTCACTCTTCCTTCTGATACAGCACCACAACCCAACTCCTCCTCAGAGCCTACAGGCTCCAGAATCACCCATGTTTCACACGCAATATAGGGAGTTGGGCTTCTGACAGACCTGAAGAGCATTAAGTTCTCAAGACCAAGGAAGGGAGCCAGGTAGCCACAGCTGAGCTCACAGATGCTCTTTTAACCTCCCAGGCAAGACACTCTAATCAGGTCCCTGACCACTTTATTTCCTTTTTGGTCCCTTCTTCTCTCTTCAGCAAAACCTATGGACTCAGAACTGCACAGGGACAGTCCCACTGCAGTCAGCCGGGTGGGTAATCAAGTCTTCCTCAAGCTACCACTGAGGCAATCCTTTTAAGCACCTTTCAAACAGCAGCAGCAGGAGCTTAATGTGGATTTTTTTTCCATGTTTGCTTAAATATCTGTGCCCAGTGTTCCTGGAACCAGGCAATGCACACCAGGGTCAGCTGGCAGCTCCTCTGCAGAGTTGGATTACCCCTGAAAAGAGAGGTTCAGAGAGAAGAACACCCAGTGACCCTGCTGAAATCTCCCCCTCTGAACTGCCACTCAAGGGTGCTGAAAGACCCTTGGGACACCAAGGGCTGGCTGAGAGACTCTGGGGCAAGCTGTTATGGAAATATCCACACAAGTCAAGCTATCAATTACAATGATCTCTGAGAACAGCTTCCCACATGGATGAACGTCATTCTGATCATTAGAGCTGGCACACTGTTAATTTCTCTCCTCCAGGACTCAGTGCTAGACAAGGCCACTCTGCTCATGTTTGTCTACAGAGGAAAAATGATGCTGTCCACAAATACTCCCTCCCTTCCTTCTTGGGTGTTTTGTTTTACTCACTGCTTCTCTAGACAACAGTACTTTGCATTTTTTAATTTACTTTCTGCCTGTGCTCCTAGTTTAAGCATAACTTACTTTCTCTGCCTTTCCTTCCTGCCTTGGCCCACAACAAACTGTAACCTGCTGTTTGCCCCTGACTTAACAATAGTTCCTGCAGGCCATATTTTGGTATCAGCAAGTTGGGTTTATGGCAGCTACGAAAACACAAAAAAGCCTTAGCAACTGATGGTGCCAGCAAGGAAAGCAACTGCTGCTGCCACGGTAACTTGTGGCATTTTATTGAAATGCCACAGTTTATTGAAAGCACTTGCTCATTTGCCCAGCCAAATGTCAAGGGGTTGCAGAAGAAGTGATCTGACAATGAAGGGTCAGCCCTTATAGGGAACTTACACGGGGAGTGCTAGAGGAGCCTTCCAGCAGCATCTCCACTGTCTTGCCAGGCATCAGCTCTGCTCTCACTGGTTGAAGCTTAAATACAGGGCAGGCATGACTGGGGGCCTGGGAGGAAACCTGGCCTTTGGCGTTACTGATGGGAGGGAGACGATCACGCCGGTGAAGCATGGTGAAACCTTCTGTTGTCCAATAGAGCAGATGGGTGCGCTGTCCTTTGTTTGTTATCTTGAAGCTGTAACAGCACGGATCCAGGCTAGAAGAGAAGCAGAGATAGAAAATGTCATGGAAGCTGCTATTTCCCAGCGATCACCCAGCTTCAGCACCCTGATGGCATGTTCTGACTGCACACTCAGCGATAAAACCACCTCCCAGAAGGCTGACCTAGCTCAAAGCTTCAGCAAAAGCCAGACCTTGGCTGCCCCTAAGTTTATCCTCATCCAGCAGCTGGTCTGCTTGCGTACAGCAAGCAAAAGCTTCTTGAAGACTATGATCTCGGTTGCTGTGGACAGAGCATCACCAGCCTTTGGTGCTTAATACATGCAGTGTTGCTCCAAGGTGCTTCCTGCAGGTCTCACTCCATCAGGCACTAAGCTGGCCTGTCCTTGAATCCTGCGGCATCAAGTGGATGAGGGAACAGCTTTGCTGCCATTTCACCTTCCCCTGTGAGCTGCTGCCTCAGATGGCTTCCTCTGAAGGTGCTACTGGGGAGCTGCAGGGGATATAGACTCATCTGGCAATCTGGACACCGCTTGCCTCCACTGGTGCGACCCTTGCCCTGGCACCCATGTTATCCCCTCATCCCTTAGGCAGCATCCAACCCTCATCGCCCCGTATCACCCTTTGCCTGAACAGTGCAGCTGGTTTTGTGTTTTAGGAAGATAAATGCACTGTGAGAACGTCTGTCAGAAGCTTCCCCAATACAAACACAGCAGCAAGGGCAGCACTAGCTGCTGAGGGAACGGAACAACAAAAGACTGTTAGATGAGGCTCTCGGTGATATGGTTTAGTGGTGGTCTTGGCAGTCCTGAGGTAATGGTTGGACTTGATTATCTTAAAGGTCTTTTCCAATCTCACTGTTTCTATGATTCTGTGACTCTATAACTATAGCCTGACCTAAAGCAAAATGAATATTCAATGGAAATGGGTTTCTTCATGTTAAGAAACACTAACTGCAGGCTAGTCTTACCCTCTATAAATCCAAGCATGACCAGGAAATGAACTGTTCCTAGAACAACTGTTGTCTTTTTTTGAAAGGTACAGAATACAGGGCTTACAAAATGACCATCTGGCACGAGCAACTAAACAAAACACTGAGGTGACAGTATAGAACACACTAGTCTTGATAACAGATTGTTAAAACACGATGTGTACAAGCTTAGTATGAACTGGTTATGTTTTAGACAGCAACAGATGAAAGCTTGCAGAAGCTCTGGGTAGCTGCAGGATTTGTGGCTCTGGGAAAGCCCAGCTCACCTGGATCCCACCTCAGCTGATCTGGTGGCAGCTGTTGCAATGGCAACAACTCCAAACCTGGAGGCAAAGATGTGAAAGGGGGCCAGAGGATGATGACATGAAATCACTGATGTCCCCTCCACTGTGTAGCCAGTTTGTGGCTGCATGGAGAACAGGCGACGCTGGACAAGCACCAATCTTCCTGCAATGTCCCTGCTTAAAGTGGATGGCTGCAGGTGCATATTTAAACCCCCCAAATCTATATTGAGTGCTTATGGCAAGACTAACCTGCTCTTTCTATCCCAAAATGTAGGTATCAAAGCACTGTGGACCCTCTTGGCAGTCAGAGAAAGGAGAAGGAACCTCAAAAAGACTTTTCATCTCATCCCAAAAGGTCTCCAACACAAGGCAAACAGCAGTTTGAAAAAGCTTATTTTAGTCCCAATTTTAAGAATGGGCCTGGTTTCAGATACACACATTGGGATCAGTGAATTCCCTCTTTCCAGCTCAGCTCTTTCAATGCCTCCTCCTTTTCCTTTCAGAGCTGGTCCTGTATCCACGCTCATGTGCCCATGCCTATGGCTGCCACTGTGGCAAGTGAAGCAGGCAGGAGAAACAAGGAAAGAGCCATGACATCTAATAAAGAGCAGCCTGGCAGGGCAGCTGGGGAAGATGACTGAACTGAGGGATGATACATGGCAAAGGCAAATTCTGCTGCTCCTCCAGGACTCCCAGGCAGAGGGAAGGTAAAACAGCACCATTAATTTAGTCAAGGAACTACTAACAAGCTGCCACCAAGGCTTTCCACTGTTGTGAGCTGATACTCTGTATTGAATGGAAAAGCAAGCAACATTACTGCAAACAGAAGTATGTTCAGACTTGTCAAGCAGCATCTTTTAGCTGGAGGCTTCCAGGACCTGCTGTTTTCCTCTGAATCTTTGTTTGATAAAGTGAGGAAATAAATCATAAAATCATAGAATGGTTTGGGTTTGAAAGGACCTTAAGAACATCAAGTTCCAACCCCTGGCCATGGACAGGGATACCTCAAACTAGACCATGTTGCCCAAAGCTCTGTCCAACCTGGCCTTGAACACTGCCAGGGATGGAGCATTCACCACTTCTCTGGGCAGCCTGTGCCAGTGCCTCACCACCCTCACAGTAAAGAACTTCTGCCTTATATCTAACCTGAACTTCCCCTGTTTAAGTTTAAACCCATCACCCCTTGTCCTATCGCTACAGTCCCTGATGAAGAGTCCCTCCCCAGCATCCTTGTAGCCCCCTTCAGATATTGGAAGGCTGCTCTGAGCCTCCCCAAGGCTGAACGCCCCCAACTTTCTCAGCCTGTCTTTGTACACGAGGTGCTCCAGCCCCTGACCACCCCTGTGGCCTCCCCTGGACTTGCTCCAGCAGTTCCATGTCCTTCTTTTGTCGAGGACACCAGAACTGCACACAGTGCTCCAAGTGGTGTCTCACGAGAGCAGAGGAGAAGGACAGGATCACCTCCTCTGACCTGCTGGTCACACTCCTTTTGATGCAGCCCATATATTATAACTAAAGACAATTCAGTGACAATTTAGTAACTGGTTTCCATGTCAGTAGCTTTTGAGAGTATGTAACGTCTTTCAAATGGCCATAAACTGTTTCTAAAGGAATCCCTGTGCCTTCAGTAAAACGGAGCCAGGACCTTGAGCACTGAAGAAGAACTAGCCTGAAGGATTGCAGCAAAACTCCTCCTTGATGAGCCCATGGGGGAAGCAGGAGCCGAGAAATACCCTACCTGAAGTGGGGTCCCAGGTTGAGCTCTGGAGCAAAGGGTTTGTCGGTGACAATCGTGGTGCCGATGCCAACAGCCTGGACAGGGATGACAGAGGTATGGCTGTTCTTTACAAACAGCTTCACCTCGTCGTTGAATTTCTCCGTGTCATTCAAGTTTGCTATGACAGCCACAGACACCACTGTCTCAGGGGGGATCACTCCTTTACTGGGTTCAACCCTCCAGCGTGAGCGTTTGTCAGCCTGTAAGACAAGCCAAACGCCAATTTAGGATGGTAACCATGGACCCTGGTCTCTAGAATGATGCAGGAAAAGGAACAACTAAAGACATGAGAGTAAAACACATAAAGGTTTGATTTCTCTAAACCTAAGCTACAGTGTCTGGAAACATGGAAACAGCAACTACACAGGAACCTATTCAACCTGTATTTTACCCTCCTTTAACAGACTCACCTCATTAACCCAATTTTGCCCAACCCAAGGGATCCTCATCCTCAGGAGATGTTTATTCACCCTCCAGTCTCTCTTTTGGAGTGCACGCCAAGGAAAAATTTCTCTCTGCTGTTTTTCCAGCAACGGTGGCTGGGTTTGCAGGAGGGCTGAAGGCCAGAGGAAGCCAGAACTGCTCAAATCCCTCCACAGCAGCCACATGGCTGGGGGATACTGCTGACAGCCTGAAGAATAACTGCAAAACCGGCTGATGAAAATCCCAACACAAAAGTCTTCTTTCCCAAGAGTTAGTACAGCCCCCGAAGGACTGAAGCACTCTGTTCCCACTGATCATCAGCTGCAGCGAGGTGCCCCAGTGCCCTCTGCTCTGGAAAATTCAGCTATAAATGTTTAGAGTAGGGCAGTAAAGCAATAAGCAGAAAGAGAACTGCAAGACATGTGCCCTGTGGGCATGGCCTGGGCTTCCCAAGCACTCTCTTCCTTTGGTTTCTCATGGACATCCCTCTATGGATGTGGCAATAAAGGTGTTGGACCCCCAGCCCATCTAAAACAACATTCAGAGGGTGCAAGCTTCAGAGGAGGTATGTATACAGTGCTCCCTGGCCAGCACAAAATGTCCTGGGATGTAGATGTATGACCCATCACGGTGTTAGTGGCACACGTGCCGCAGTTCAGTGCTGTGTTTGGAATGACAGACACTATTCATCCCAAACTCTGCAGTGCTGTAAGAAAAGAGGCTTTTCTCCTTTTTTTTTTTTTTAAATAGAAAGCAACAATGTGCATGGAGGCCTGACACAATCCGAGCAAGTGCTTGATCCAGGTGAAGTTAGCTCGAGCTTCCATCCATCCGGCAGCACAGAGCTTTTAACAGGACAGCAGCCAGCCCAAGGGAGAAGAGTATCAGGAAACCAAGAAGCACTTCAAAGTCATGGGAAGCATTATACACAGCCCCCCAAAATGCCCTCAGCTAACAAGAGTAAGATGAGCTGGAGGCCAGAGAAGCAATAACTTGCTGAGCATTCCAGGTCCCAGCAGTGCCCCAGTGACAACAACCCCTTGGGCTGACTGCCCTGCATGGAGAGCAGGTCAGGTCTGCACGCCTGCATCCCAGGATGGAGCATGCCAAAGGCAGCAGTATCATTGCAGGCTCTGGCAAAATTAATAAACTCAGCTCCATTTAATTTGCCCTCTAGAGCTGTGAAAGAAAGTCTTAAAAATAGCAAGACGAGAATGAGGTGGAGGAAGGTAGTTGGCACAGGGTAAACACTGGGGCCTCACTGACCACATAGGATCCCACCAACCCTCTTCTGTTGTCCCTGCATCCCTTGTGTAGCTTATCACTAGCTGCAGAGGCAGCCACTGCACTGCCATCAGCCAAGGGAGATCAGCCACCAAATGGGAGACAGGGAACTCACAGCTCACCATCCTGCAGCAATCGCCAAGCAGGAAATCAGAGCAGCAGCCTTGGCATTTCAGAGAACTCAAAACTTGGCTTCAGGGCTACAAATGAATGAAAGATGCCCAAGTCACCCACCCGTGAGGCTAAGAGACAGCCAGAGCCAGTTCTGCTCTCAGATGTACACGTGTAGTTCACCCTGACACCCAACTGCATATCAAATTTTATCTCCAAAATTATTCAGTCCTCTCTTCTTCCCATCAATAAACTGCCAGGCAGCCTAAGGCAGCTGAGGTAGCAAAACAGCACCAGAGGATGCAGCTGCTATGGGCACAGGAGTAGCCTGAGCACATCTCGCCTGCCACAGTGCTGCTCCCATCAGCAAAGCAGCACTGAAGAGCCCTTGTCAAAATGTCTAATCAAGCAGGTTCCCAGGATCTGCCTCCCTGAACATCTCTCTCCATGGTCATCAGCAGCTGTCCTGTGAAGCCAAGATGCTCACCATGGGGTAATTCAACCCTATGGAATCAGAAGCAGGAACTATGGAGCAGCAGAGCCTGTCTTTACTGCAGGGAAAGAAACCACCCCTGAACTACCTCATATTCTTGTTCTATTTCTTGATTAGACTCAATATTTGCAGAGACTGCAGTGAAGCAGGATAGGATTTATTGCCCAATCCCAGCACATGAGCCTTCCCTGGCTTCATCAGCCCCACTCCTCCTGCCAGGGGAGCAACCCAACCTCCTTCTGCTGTGCAGCTTGTCACACTATGCAGCCTCTATGAATTAAATAGCCTATTACTGCAGCTAGATGCTCTGCAATTCTTCAGAGCCCAGAGACTCTGTAGGTACACAGTCCCTACAAGTCTATTTTTGTGCAGCAATGAGCTGGTTTGACCCCCAGAGGGTGTGAAACCCATGTCATCGTGAGCAGTTTGAGAACAGACCTCACACCCCAGTCTCTGTCTAACAGAAGTTCAACACAAAGCAAATGCAGACATAACAGGGAAACCATAGGGAAATCCATGCCCTTCTAGGAGCAGAGCCACAGGGTTCTCTTGATCTCAGAGTTCCAAATAAAGTGAGAACTTGTAAAAATTATCCAGGCTCATTTCTGCTCAAACATCTGAGCAAACTCTTTGTTTTATTGAGGGGTGCCCCAGCTAAAATAGCCTCCAAAGCCAGGCTCCTCTTGCCGCGCTGTGATGGGATATCTTGCTTTGTCTCTCAGTGATGTGGAAATGTTGCATATAAGAAAAAGATTAAAATCAAGTCACAGACTCCTATGGACCAGTCATTTTCATTGGAGAACAGTCCCACAGATACTCACCATCTTTGCTGAGAAGGATGCAGGGATGACAGACTGATTGGAGAGGTGGAGGGTTTGGGAAGCATCTTGTAGAACTCGGATACTGCCGAAATTTATCTTACTTGGATGCACATAGACAACTGGTCCTTCTCCAATGCTCACTAAATGGATTTTCTGCTCCAGGAAGCAGGTAGGAAAAAGAAAAAAACAACAGTGAGAGCTGTAAGGGTACACATAGACTGGGGGATAATTCTGACTGTTTGAAGTTTTCAGTGTTGTGAGGCTGAAACAGAAGGCCTGGAGCAAGTGTGGGATCTGGAGTGGTCCTGTTTGAATGCCACAAGCTCCTAGTTATCAGGGGATAAAGAAACCCCATTTCCCATCCATGCTTTTTCACACCTCCATGCTGTTAGCTCTCCTTCCTCTACCTTGTGCCTGCTCCTGCTCCTTTTCTTGCCCAGTCTGGCCCCAAACCACACTCCCTGACTGCTGCTGCTGCACAGCCACGCTGCACAGGAACTTCTTTAGTGTTCTCAAACATATAGCTGTGAAAACAGCACAAGTCAGAAGCAAAGCTGGCTCTTCAGAGTACAGATCATGTAAGTTAGTTACCTCTGATTTGTGCTTATGTGCATTCCTGATATTACATGAAAACCAGGTATTAATTATTAATTGCATTGTTCAAGCAGTATTTTTTTCTACTGACAGTCTGAGACCCAAAAGTTTCTTCTTGCAGAACTGGTGCAGACTTTTGGAAGAGGAATGTGGATCCCTTTCCTAAACCACCTTCTCACAGCACTAAAACCAATGAGAATTTATCCAGTCTTGCTGGTTTCACCAGTTCCAAACACAACAACTCTTAAACAGGATCTCAACACATCTGACAAGATGCTGTTGATTCACTAGAGGCATGGGGTATGATTTAACCACGAAAGAAGCCAGCTTCCATGATGTAAAACTTCCAGTGATGTCTGACTCAAGGAAATGGCCTTGACGGCTGTCAGAATCACTACTCCAACTGAACCAGAAGGAGCAGCTTCCAGAAATACTCTTCTCTTGACAGGACACTAACATGTGCAAGTAAGGACCAAAAATCATGTAAAAAGGCTGGTACCTCAACTATAAGGAACTGAAACCATGCATGATGATGAACCATTCACACCTCCGGGAGAAGGGCAGCACAGCGAGCTGCAGGAGGGGTGGTGCTGCCTAAAGCTCCTGGGAAGGAGGAGCCAGAGGGAGGAGCTGTGCCTTGCCAGCCAGCTTCACTTCCAGCTGACAGCAGAGGAGAAGCAGCAAGGGCAGAGGAGAAGCAGCAAGGGCAGGGCAGAAGCCTTTGGAGATGAGCAGAATAACATCTGGAAGATGCCCAGGCTAGCTGCCTTCAAGTAGAGTGTGTACTAACACAATATATCCTCACCAAGAAAAAGGCATATTAAAAACCCCAAACCTTCATCTACAGTCTTCTTAAAAGGGACAAGGAAAATTCTGCTGAAGAACATCACAGCAATGTGACACACAAGGAAACAGAGTAAGGAGATGGCAACTTTGCCAATCATGATATTGCCACATGTACACTCCCCCAAGCTCCAGCAGCACTGCTGGCTTTGGTGATCGGTATGTAATGCCACTTTGGATCATTTAGGAATGAAGAGCATCTGCCCCTGGCAGACAGCTGTGGTTTGAGTTACCACTTATTCTGGTAGCAGCCGGCTGCCAAATCCCCTGCCTGTGGCACGCGAGACTGCTTTGCCACCAGTAAAACTAGGGTTGGGTTTTACCAGCTCCTTAATGCAGGAGATGACAAAGAGCAAATAGAATCTGGCACGCAGTCACCTGCAAACAAAATACAAGGCAACAGACCCAAGGTGAGATTCTACACAGCCCAGATGAAAGATCTGTATCACATTTCACTTACAACAGTGTAAAGACTTGGTATCAGTGCTAGACAGCATAATTCCAGATAAGAGCAAGTGAGTCCAGAGGAGGCCACAAAGATGCTCTGAGGGCTGGAACACCTTTCTTATGAAGACAGGCTGAGAGAACTACGGTTGTTCAGCCTGGAGAGGAGATGGGTCTGGGGAGACCTGCCAATACCTAAAGGGGCCAACAAGGAAGCTGGAGAGGGGCTTTGTATAAGGACATGTAATGATAGGACAAGGGGGAATGGATTTAAACTGATAGAGGGTAGATTTAGATATGACCTTCCCTGTGAGGGTGGTGAGGCGCTGGCATGGTGTCATGGGTTGCCCAGAGAAGCTGTTGCTGCCTCATCCCTGGCAGTGTTCAAGGCCAGGTTGGACAGGGCTTGGAGCAACCTGGTCCAATGGAAGGTGTCCATGCCTGTGGCAGGGGGGTTGGAAATGAGTGAGCTTTAAGGTCTTTTCCAACCTAAACCCTTCTAGGATTTTATAATATTTTGTTTTATTGGAATACATGGCAGCCATTCCCCTGAGGTCAGATTTGCATCAGATAATCCATATGGGTAGGACCAGTCACCAGCATAGGATGTAGAACAAGATGGGCAGCTGTTCTGCTAGGCCAGAGAGCTTTGGATGACCCAGCTACTAGCACGCAAGCTATGAGGCAAACCTAACAGAAAATGCAGACTTTCTAGCTTGACACCTAGAAACTCCCATCCGTGCAGGCAACATACCCAGCGAGGTTTCTAGCAGCAGCAACCAAGCACAAGCATGGTCACTGAACATCGACTGCACAGGCACACAGAGTCACTCAGTCCTACACTAGTCATTTCTTTAGGGACAGCTAAAATTCCTCAGCTGGAATGCTCACCCTTCAGGCACGTTCACCTCTAAAAAAAACCCAACAAAACCCCCCCCCGTAAACTTAAAACCTATAAATTGTTAGCCAAAGGGTAAAAGCTTTGTAAGAAGCTCTCTACTGTCTCTCTACTCTGCTCTCATCCTCTCTACTCCGCTCTCGTGAGACCCCGCTTGGAGAATTGTGTGCAGTTCTGGTGTCCTCGACGTAAGTACATAGTCCAGAGGAGGCCACGAGGATGATCAGGGCTGGAGCACCTCCCGTATGGAGACAGGCTGAGAAAGTTGGGGCTGTTCAGTCTGGAGAAGAGAAGTTGAGTACACACCTCAGGGCATCCTTCCAGTATCTGAAGGGGGCTACAAGGATGCTGGAGAGGGACTCTTCATCAGGGACTATAGCGATAGGACAAGGGGTGATGGGTTTAAACTTCAACAGGGGAAGTTCAGGTTAGATATAAGGAAAAAGTTCTTTACTGTAAGGCTGGTGAGGCACTGGAACAGGCTGCCCAGAGAAGTGGTGAATGCTCCACCCCTGGCGGTGTGAAGACCAGGTTGGACAGAGCCTTGGGTAACATGGTCTAGTGTGAGGTGTCCTTGCCCATGGCCAGGGGTTGGAACTAGATGTTCTTAAGGTCCCTTCCAACCCTAACTATTCTATGATTCTATGAAATCCGTAGTTAAAAAGCAAGCTCACAGTTAAAAACCTGGTTATTCTAGTGGGGAGAAACCCTCCTCTTCAAGGGAAATATGTCTTATAGTTATGAGCAACTGTTGTCAAACTTCAGACCTTCCTGCGTGGCTTTCCTGTTGCCTGATTTACACGCACATCCACAAGAGCCTGGGTGGAGATGTTCAGTGGCACCCAGGGGATTTAGCAGCATCATTTCCATTCATTTTAATAAAAGTTTAAATCCCTGCAACTACTTTCAAAATGTCAGCCTTCTGTTCTGTTACAGAAAGCTTAATGTTCCTAGGAATCCTCTGACATCCTCTTCTGCGCTCACAGAGATGACAAGGTATTTTAAAACAGCTGCTTCAAAAGTTAAAATAATTTTAAATTGACGTTTAACTGAATTTGTTCTCAGTTCCAGCTAGATGGAACCAGGACACTACATACACTCTTGCCTACATTTTGTTGTCATTGCTGTTGTTGCATATGTCTGAATGCAAACAACATCTTTCAGGAGGCTTCAGCCCACAAGTGCTTTGCCTATCCCTTTCCACACTTCATGGTAAAACAAAGACTCTGTACTCCAGATGCAAGTGGTGTGGAGACTCACATGTCTTTTGCTGGGGCTTTTTGCAAAGAGATATGATGGATGGATAGTTCTCAGATACGATGGACCTGACTTTCAGGAAAGCTTAAATCCATCTTTGGACAGAACATCACTTTGGCACGGTTTCTAACCCAAAGCTTGCTGTAGTAGGGTTTAGGGGTGTCCCTATGTGCTCCTGAACAAAAGTTCTAACGAAGCAGCAATTGCTGTTCAGCTATAACACAGCAGAGTATAAAACCCAAGGATTGTTCTGGGTTTCAAACTGGGCTTGTTATCCCCTCTCACATATTCATAATTAAATGCTGTGTCAGACACTCAGATTACCACCTAAAAGGATATCATCCTTCCTCTTCTCTAGGCATTAGTTGCTGCTTATGCCATGAATCCCTTCTTTCCTTGTCCACACCAGTCACATGTTACAAATTCTTGTTTTCCCTGGAAGAATCCTTGCACACTTTATGCTCCACCAAGATAAGCTGCACAAAGGCACATGTCTTCCCTAGCACTCACCAGTGGGTAACCTTTACTCCCAAACACCGCAACATGAGCAACAGTGTCCTGCTGTCCTGTCACCTGGGCTTCCAGTGTGAATGGGACCTCCACCGAGCTGTGAGGCTGGATAATTCCACACGGCATGGAGCTGGAGTACCATACAGCAGCCATACCCTTGTGTTCCTATAAGGAACAGAATCAAATACAAGTTCAGAGTGACCTTTGAGGAATCTTTTCAACTCTTTAACACCTACCACAACGGCAAGTCACACACACACATTTCTAAAATCCCTAGGAGAAGGCAGAAAGGCACAACACAAGATGCAAGACTTGTATGGGCTCAGCATCCTCAGGGGGTCCAAAAGCTGCTGCATCCACAAACACCCACTGCTGTGCTGGCAGTCTCCTTGCAGCAGCTTTTCACAACCCTCCAAGTTCTCCTGCATGAAAACACCCCGAAAACTAGAATATGAACTGCTTCCTAAAGAGTTTAAACTGCTTTCTGAAGTTTATATTGTGGTTGGGTCCTGTTCTCATCAAACCTTTAGGTCTGACTATAAATCAGCAAGGTCTTAACAACCCTTTTTTCCTAATAAACACTTGATAACATTTGAGGGCAGGAGGTGGATGTAATTCCAAACCTGAGGAAGAACCCTATAGCATCCTGGAAGGTCACTGTCATTCACAAGGGTCAGCATCTGCTGATATGGGAATTTCAGAAAGCACCGTCCAAACGTCATGATGGGATCAAGCACTCGCAGCGGAGGAACTACACATCTGGACAGAGATGACAAAGAGGCAATTAGACACTGAGAGAATGTAGAATTTGTTTACTCCATGAAAAGCACAAAATAGAGCGTAACACAACTGCCACTGCCAAACAAACAGACATTTAATCCCCCTACAGCCATAAATCAACTTTAACTTCTTTTTACCCAACAACCTTTTGTAAAGGAGGGGCAGACCCTGGGACTCAGCATCGCAAAGGCTGCTAAGCGCCCAGGCAGAGCACGGTGCCTGGCCCCAGGTAGGCTTTGCCCCTCCTTTGCACCAGGAGCTTGCAAGGATCCTCCCAACAGTCCCAGCAAGGTGTGAGCTCCGAGGGAGCCTTCTCACCGAGAAGCAGCTCCCACCAGGGCTCAAGGAACACCACACTCTAGTGTCTCAGTGAAAACAATCCCCTCCTCTCCCGCACCACTGTTACCCTGCCTGAAAACCCAACAATTTGCCCCAGTGACAGAAGCCATGGGTCATCACCTGTCTTACACATTGGGTGATCACCCTCTCCCAGTCCCTACAGATACCTTGCTCCTTCACCCCATGGGTCCACACACTGTCTGTTCCCGTTTGCACTTGTTTTACAGAAGTGCAGCCCAGGCACTGACTGGCTGACTCTGGCTGGGAGAGGGAACAGCACCAGTGAACTGCGTCCCTCTTGTAATTAAACTGACACCCACTGCAGCACAACAGGCTTGAATCTGGCTGCAGCAAGAACAAGTTTCAGCTTAAGTCCGAGAAAATTAATGCTCAAAAGAACCAGACAGAAGCAGAGAAACCTGAGCTCACCTTTCACACCAAGGACTGTTTTCCCTTTCCTAAGATTTTGCCTTCACTTTTCCCTCACCAGTTGTGCCGTAAGCCCCTGTCCCATTTGCACGTGCCTTCATTAACTGAACCAGACACCAGCTTTCAGCAGGCTGCTCGCTGTGGCCCAAACCAATGTTGTATTTTTCTTGCAATCCAGCACAAGTCTACCATGTGCAGGATGAAGGAGGGGTGGCTCTTTGGAAATGGTACACTTCAAGAACCAAAAAACCAGGCTAATAATATAATCACTATTCCCTTCAGAGAAAGGCTCAGTGCTGTACCTGCCTTCTGAGCACATGGGCTTCTTTCAGTGCACTACTGTTCTCCTGTCTAGCTGGGCAGAAGTAGCTCATTAAGCAATGCTGCTCATTTGGAGCTGGAGCCAGCAAGCCATGTGCAAGGCAGTCTGCTGGAGTCAGATGCATGAGGAAAGATGATCAGCTGCAAGGAAAACACTGGTACCTGGCTGTGAGGAGCAGCGCCAACACCTCCTTGCCAACACCATCCACATCTACCACCAGTGCCAGCCTGTATCTCTTCAGAGTGTTGGAACACAGGGTGACCTGGTGGAAGCAGAGCATCAAATACTTCATCACTCCCAAAAGCCATAGGCCATGTGTGGTGTCCTCCAGTTCTCATTCTGGATTTCTTAGATATTAGGAAGATTAGATATCAGGAAGAAGTTCTTCCCTGTGAGGGTGGTGAGACATTGGCACAGGCTGCCCAGAGAAGCTGTGGCTGCCCCATCCCTGGCAGTGTTCAAGGCCAGGTTGGACACAGGGGCTTTGAGTAACCTGCTCTAGCGGAAGGTGTCCCTGCCCATGGTGGGGGGGGGAGGGATGGTGGTAATAGATGATCTTCCAACCCTTCCAGTCTAACAAGGTCCATTCCAACCCAAACCAGTCTATGATTCTATGATTTTGCCTTAATTCTTCTGCTGGTCCATGTGTAGAGCACAGTCTCTGCAAGTAACAAAAGTCTTCTGACAATATCTGAATAGTTAAATAAACCTTGCAGTTATCAGGGCATATGTAAGTTAAATTAAAGCACAATTAGAATAAGGCTCTACTCATCACTGTATTAAAATTAAGGGGACAATTTTTAATTTCAGTTACAATAGCATAAATCCAGAGGGAATGTATGGACTTTTAATAGAATGAGTTGAACTTTACAGTGGGAAGCTGAGGGCAAAATGTGGCCCTCAGATGCTGTGCAGCTCATGGCTGCCAGAGCTTTCTCAGTCCCCACTGGAGATCACTGCAGTGAATACAACTCATTCTGCTCAACAGGAGACAAGGAACAAGACTGGGAAGAAAAGCCAACTGCATTATACAATGATACCTCTCTTTTTAACAGCTGCCTTCTGTCCTCATCCTTCCTCTGCCCATTTTAAATCAAAGAAACCACTCCAAGCAGCTCTCAAAACCACATGAATGGCTTCTCTACTTGACCATATGGTACAAGATCTTCAGATTACGATTTTGGAAACAAGATGGTGCTCCTTCAGAGAAGTCACAGAGCAACCCAGCAAACAGAAGCCTAACACTAGCACAGGTATCTTTCTCACATTATGCTCAAAGCCAGCAGTGCTGAAGCCTGCTCACACATCAGTGAAGCTTCAGCTCACCTCTAAAGCACTTACAGCTGGACTTGCCCCATACCTGGATATCCAGGTGTCCATGGGCACAGATGGTCCCTCTGCAGGGCCTGATGGTAAATTCGGTTGGCTTGACATGACCTTGGGCTCCCTTTCTCCAGGACAGACAAGTGTTCTCCGACACCTGATCAAAACTGGTCACACTGGGCTCTCCCAAGCCGTCCCCAGGAATGTGAAGGTTGAAGGTCATGGGCACCAAGGACGTGTTAGTAAGGCGACATGATAAGGTGCGAGGAAAACCTAGGAAAATGACACAAGTATGAATTTATGCACCAATGACCCATAGATTCCTGGTGTGAATATCCTGTTACAACAAAACTGTGTTTGGAGTTCAGCTATTTTCAATCTGAATTACAGCTAATTGAGAAGCTCAGTGAGTAATTAATCATCAAGTAAGCTCCCTTTTATGCCGATCACAGAGGCTGCTTCCTTGGAAATGCCCACTCTTAGCAATGCTGAGCATCAGAAGTTTCTAACTGTGAGGAGTTCTCTCCCCTGGTCCCAAAACAGCATTATTTATTTCTCACCCATGAGTGTGAATTTAGACAGACCATTTACTCTGAAAATTCAATCCATAAAATTCCCTGTTAACTCCGCAAACACTCCCAGTTTTCAAAAGATAAAAGCAGCACATTGTAATTGAGGAAAAGTGACAATAAAAGAAAGGAAGGATGCAAAGCACTCGAAAGCAGTTTCTCTAGCCAGCATTCTTAAGGCTTGTCCTGTTTTGGGGCAACCAGACAGAGCATGTGACAACTTCACTGGAGGCTAACCTAATGCTTGCTTAGAAATTAGCAGGAACCATTTCCCACCTTACCTAAGAAGCGAGGACATCACATCATGCTGCAGACGGGCTTTGATTACTGCCCTCAAAGGTTTACATCACTTTAGCTTTGATACTTGCTTTCCATAATGGAAAACCAGCGATACAACCACACCTGGTGGGGTGTTCTGCAGAGACAGGACCACAACCTGCTTGGGAGTAGAAATCTGACTTGGCTGGCGAGCTCTGCAAGGAGGAGATGTGTCCCACAGCCTGCATACCAAGTGTTATCTGAATACAGATGGGGAGGCAAACCAGCTGCAGGGGCAGCACATAGCTCCTTCACACCCATCACCAGTGACCATTGCCTACCTTCAGCAACTGGGAGGCAGGAGGTGCATGAAAAGGAAACACAGACTCCACAGTCCTGAATGAGACCCAAGTCACCAGATGCAGACAAGAGCCAGCAGCAGTTGCAAAAAATACAGTAGCTGTCTTCAGCTAAGAAGGCCTTATTAATGAAATCAGATTAAGTAGGATGACTCTCCTATTACATGACCACATTTCTGCCTGGTGCATTTCTTCTGTTTTAGTTATTCAAAAGGAAACAAAGAAGTGACAAAGTAGTGATGTAGGGCTGTTGCTCAGGAAAGTTAATGAGTTTTCTTTAGAAGCCCATAGACTTCTAAAAAGCATGAAAACACAGAGGCATCCTGGGCACAGAATGATAATGGCCCTTTAATCAGTCCACAATTGTTTTCATGTTTAAACTTCAGACCATCTCAGTAAAAAGCCCTTTGTGAGACTGAGATGGAGTACCAGAATCTGAATTTCAATGGAGATGCTCTGAGTGTGCAGCCACTGACCCTGTCATCAGAGCTGGGCTTTTGGTGGGAACGAGAAGGAGCCAAGTTTCTGAGGACATCAGTGCCTGATGCAGAGCTGTTGTTTGGGCATATTACCTGGGAGGAGATAATAAAGTGCCCTCACAGTGCTAATTAACTTCTCACACTAAAGGTCAGATGGGTAAATGGTGCCCTTGTCTTACAACAGGAACATTTACCTAGAGCAGCTACAGGCTAGTAGATGGCTTAAACTCCCTTCTTCTGTGGTCCCATCCCCAGGACCCTTCTGGGACAAGGACCTTCACAGTCATTCTGCTGCCAGGGACTGGGAGTCTGGGGCTGAACTGACTGTGAGGGACACCAGAAAACACTGACTTTCTATTTCCTTGGTTTTATTTGATCTCACGATGGCAAAATACTGCCTAGGGAACCAGCAGCCCTGGCTTTAACATCCTAAAGGCTGCTATGGAGGAACACAAGTGACAGATGTTCCTATGCTGAAGTGCTCCATTTTGGTAATGGACAAACCTCTCAACCTATGGTCCAAGCCCAGGGCACACTCACCAAAGGAGACATCACCAAAGCAGAGGAAAGGTACATCAAAATGAAATGTTGGTCCAATGACACAGCCCCTGTGAGGACAAAGACAGGCAGAGGAGCTATTGGCTTGGTTAAAGAGAACTGCAAAGCCTTCAGCTTTCGTTACTGCTCTGATGGGTAAAAGCTGGTCTCAGAAGCACAGTGCACATTTATCTTGTGTCCATGCATAAATCAAATCAAAATTGGTTGGCAAGCCTAAATACACTGTACCTTGAGTGTTTTCCCCTGGTGGCTTGTTGGATACACTGTCTCTGCTAAATCTCTCTGCTTTTGAAATAGCCCCAAAGGCAGACAGGAATACACAAGCATCATGCTAAATATTTGCTACTTGTTCAAAGGTTCTCTAATTGTCAGAGTCCTTTTGCTCTAAGTACCCAACAATATTTCTCCTGCTGCAATCAAGAGAACTAATTTCTTCCAAACCCTGGACCTCCCAAACCGGGTTACAAGAATAACCTGCTACCCGATAGGATCTGCTATTGCTGTCACAGATCTCTGGCCCCTGTATTATGTCTTCATCATCATTCCATTCCAGAAGAGTTTCAGAGTTGGGTATTTGCTTATCCTGTATCTCTGAGCTATATCCTAATGCTGATCACACTCTAACAAATACCACTTCATTCTTATCTGGATATTCCTACTTAATTATGTTAGAAGCTTCCTCAAAAAGAGGATGCAGCGTTTGGCTGAAATGGCAGCAATCAGCATAAAAATTAACTAAAGCAACATCTGCCTCATGTAAAATGTCATCTGTATTTCCACCATCTAGACTTGTCATTTCAGTTCTTATCTGGTGAGACCACACCTGCAGACACTGGTCCAGGTTGCTCAGAGTGGTGGTAGATGCCCCATCCCTAGCGGTGTTCAAGGTCATGTTGGATGAGGCTCTGAGCAACTTGATCTAGTTGAAATTGCCCCTGCTTATTGCAGAGGTGCTGGACTAGGTGACTTTCCAACCCAAACTATTCTATGATTCCCCCTTGCAAACAATTACATTTCATTTGCTGCTGCAGTTGCAAGGAGGCAAGGTCAAGCTGAAGTCAAGGTTAAAAAGTGTTGGCTCTTAGTGTGGGGATGCCAGGATCAGAGCCAAGACTTAAGACCTTAGCATATCCTTTTTTTTTTCTCTGCTCCATCATAAAATGAGGTAGGTGGGAGATGATCACCCAGAGATAGTTATAAATGTGACCACCAAGCTCTTATAACCCTCCTCACCTGATAGTCAAGACCACAGGCTCAGGGGATCTGTCCATGTTGAACATGAATTCTTCCGTGAACTGCCCCAGGATGGTGGGTCTGAAGGAGATCCGGATGACTTGGTACCCGCCCAGCAAAATGATGCCCTCCTGCGGGGTAAAAGTGAAGCAGGATCCCAGAGCTGTAGCTGGAGGGACCAAGCTGAAGGGTGCATCGATGGCTCCTTTGTTAAGCAGGATTGCCTGCAGCACCAAGAAAGCAAAATGGAAATACGTGAGGAGAAGGCTGATTGTTTTTCTAATTAAACAATTTGTTTTCCAATTAAACAATTAACATCTGTAGAAGGCAGAAGATGCTGTGTGCTGCTGCTTGACAGAAGCCAAAGAAAATACAATACATCATGTTCTGCCTTTGGGTTTTTTCATGCAAAGCAGTGATAAGTTCACATAAACAGATTCACTGTAGTTTATTCCACTGACACAGAGCAGTCCACTTCTGACTTGCAGTGCAAAGGACCTGTTCAGCATCACCAAGTTGATCTAGACCCGTCTCTAAGAGCCATAAAGGGCAGTTGCATCATTACTACTGAATCATCACATGACTGCTTCTGCTCCAGATGAGTTGATCCTGCCATGGGTAGAATACATTCAGCATCCACTGCAGCCACCAAGTTTACTGCATGCAGAAGAAACCTCAGGAAACCCTATAAACAACTTCAGAGATACTCCCCTACTCTGCTGTGGTATATAATTTAGGTTTATTTTATTTTATTCTTTTTATTTTGATCTGATAGTTTCTCAGTCCTTGCTCAAGCAGACATGTCAAGAGAGGGCAAGAGTGAGGTGCATAGCAACTCCACCGATTTATGAATTCACTGTTATTCAGAAGAAAAAGCAAACTTGGAACCAAGCCAAGTTGGGAAATCAACTGCCTCAAACAAATGACACAATTCCACAGCATTTGTTGAGATTCACTTGCTGAGAAACACCTGCATCTTTCTGTCGAGTACCAGCATGAGCATACTGCCTCTCACCAACAAACATACCCAAAGCAAAGCTGTTCTAATTGCTGCAGGGTGAAATCCTGCCATTTCCCTGCACCTACCTATTTTCTTTGCATTTCTTTTCCCTAATTTTTGTCCTTGCAAAACTTGTCAGAAAAATTGAGTCAGAAGCAGAGAGATGTCCGTTACTTTTTTTTGTGAATATTCACATATTCAAACTCTGCAACGGTAACTTGAAAACTACTCTCTCATGTGTTTTACACCTTAATTACAAATTGCACTTAGGGATCCTATGCCAGGATGAAGTTTACCTCTGGTCTCACTGCTTAGTACAGCTCTAACAGTATCATCGACTTACTCACATTGTCTCAAGTAAGGAAAATAATAAATTGATGTAGAGAGAATCAATAAAGTATCAGCATTAAAAATGCACACGGAGCACAGTATTTTGGTAAGAAAACACCATATTGTGTCCTTCCCTGCCACAGTCAAGCTTTTAGAAAGTATCTGGCATGATGCATTGCCTTATCCTCTATCTCCTTCAGTTGCTCTGCCATTTGTTTTTGCAGAAGACTTGATGCTGTTGGGGAGGGGGGAAGGCAAACATGTAGAAGGTTCCTTTGCTTCATTTCCATAAATTCTCTGCTCTTTATAGAGCCAGCAATGCACCAAGTCTGAAGTGTGGCAAGAGACTGGTCAGAAAGGGAAAGCACTCCCAACTTCTTTGCAAGGGACAGCTCTAAGCTGGACAGCTTTCCTTCGATTCCCAGGAATCAGTGGGATGCACTTAACTGAAAACCGTTTGCAACGGACTCAAGTTCAAACACAGTAAATCTGTTCCAGCAGCTTTTTAATAGCCAGAGTACAAAGGTGCATCTAGGGCTGAAACAGAAACCTCTAAATACTTACCTTTTTGACCCAGTGTTGCTTTCATGTATCAGGTTTGGTTGGGTGGTTAGTTGTTTTTCTGCATTAAACCTCCCAGCTGATCTCAAAGGGAGGTTGCCAAAAAGCAGGGATCAGGGCTTCATGAACAACATATGTACCTTTCAGACCTCATCAAAAGTATCCAGACTCCGTGATACCCCCCAGATTTGACTATTAAGTCAAATATTCCCTGCTCACAACTGCCAAAGTTGCCAGAAATCCTGTTAGGTCCACAAGGCTCACTGCTGCCCCAGGAGCCATCACCATCCACCCCAAGCCCTGCAAACCCCTACTGCTCACCTCATAGCTGAGAGCTGAGCCAACAAAAACCTGCCCGATGTCCAGCAGGTCAAAGTTGAAGTGGAGCTGGGGCCCGATGCCTTCCCCGCTGATGCACAGGGGCAGCCTGGTCTCACGGCCTGGGGAGAGAGAGCCCTTTCAGTACAATTCCCTCTGTTAGCCTCAATTTTCCAGGTTGCCTCAGTGCTAGGCCAGCTCAAGATGCTGAAGGATGCCTTGCGGCTGGTTTCTCGTTTCTAACCAATCCCTTGGGCTGGTTTGTAATTTAGTGATTGGTTTGCACCCTGAAAAAGTGATGCTGAGTTTAAAACAAGATCTCTGAATCTCTTTCCATGGCTTCCATGAGCTTTGACATCCGTTCAGTGAAGGCACAAAGCTCAGGAAACAGAACAGAAGGTAAGAACCTGCTGTCTATACTGATGCAATCAGAGACAACAGCACAGGCCTCGAGACACATGAGCCCAAGCAAGGTGAAGCTCCCTGCTAACAGTGACACGCACATCTGAGAGCAGGCAGAACATTTCAGCCAGTGCCTGTGCCTAATACACAGCTCTGTATCAGGATGCTCCAGGGTTCATGTCCTGCAGCAGTGCCTAAATAAGACAGGGCTTTAGGATCCCCAGAGAGGAGAAGCACTCACCTATCCCATCAAGACACCAAGAGCTCATCTTTGTAAAGACACCTTACTTGAAGCATGCTGAGCAGTTTTGGAAAACCAGCTTTCTCACTCCTGAGATCAGATAAGCCATAAATATACTGCTAAAATGCATATCCCTTGTTGAAAGGCAATCGAGACTGCAAGGCTTAGAGCTAAACTCTAAGATGCTAATTTTCTTCTTTCAGTCTGCTAAGATGACATAGTGCAGGACATTTCAGTCAGAAGGCTGTGCTGAACCATTGGGGCAGCGTGAAGTGCCTGAATCCTAGGCTCAAATTTTGGCTTGGATCTCCCTGTCATCCCATTCTACTCTGCATGGAAAGCAAGTAGCACAAGGAGGAGAAGAAAGCCCCCAAGTTGTACATAACCTTCACTGTAGCTTTTCTGCAAAGACACACTCTATCCTTCAAGCTCCTTTTGTGCAGTACTCGCCATTAGCTGAAGATCACTGATTGAAAGTTGATTATTTTTTTTTAGATCTGCTGCACAGTTATTCCAGAATGTTCCAAATGAGTAACTAAAGTCTCTTACTGCATAGAGCAGCCTGCATGTGACAATACGGTGAATAGATGACAACTTGAAAACAACTCCCCTAGAACAGCCTTTGCAATGATTGCTGACTTCAATCTTGCAATCCTGGGGTGAGGATGTTTGATAATGTTCAAAGCCAGGAAGGAAAAACTGAGAGCTTTTGTGCATTGCAGCTATTTTTAAGTGGATCCAACCTAAGCCCACCTGAAAGCAGAGATGATCCTATGCTTCACAGCTCGGGCATTAATTGTAGGGCTGTGTATTTGTTTCACAGGCACTGCAAAATGGGCAGTGTTGGGTGCTCACTGTCAAAACATTTCTCTATCTTGCATCATGTGTGGCTTAATTTTCATTAAAAACTCTAGGTCTAAACCACCAAAGGTTTAGGAAATGGCAAAGATTTCTAAGTGACAAGCTTTTGCCCATGATCATGCTGATCGAAAAATCAGTGGCAATGTTTCCCCATTCTGCAGTAAGTCCTCAACCTCTCCAGAAGGTCCATGGAAAACCATCCTTTCTTCTACTCCTACACTGATCCTGGAACTTTAGGAAGTCACAGAAATTTTGCTCTTCCTCCTTCCAGGTGAACCTCAGAGAGTGCTTTTCCCAAAGGAGGAGGAGCAGACCAAAATACATGCAGCATTCAGGACAGCTGAGAGGAAAAACAACCAAACCAACAAAACAAGTGTCTTTGCTGGAAGCTGGGGCTTTCAGGACCATCCAGCCCTTGCCTAAGGCCTGGGTATAGCTGGGCTGTGCTGCTCCCACTGTAAAACGTTCTAGACCACACAGACCAAGGGAATGGAGTGACTACAGCCTCCTTGTCCTCAATCCCAAAGCCACACCTGGCACTGCGGATTGAGAA